ATTTGTGTCCGAGGTAAAAGGCGCATAGTCTATTCGTGTTTCAGCAATCAAAAAATGGGTTTGGGGTTTCTTTACTTTTTATGAATTGTTTACATGGTTAAAAACTGTTAGTCTCTGAAACTTGCTTAATTAAATGCAGGATAAATTTTGCTATATACTTTAGTTTACACATATTTCGGAACAACGGGATCTATTGAATTCCTTTTAAATATCTTACGTAATTAGTACACTTATTGTTTAGTAAGTAGTACTTACAAACCTTTAATTTGTCCCGAAACCGGCCATTAAATAAATTAAAGTGTAGTTTTTAACAGTTAAATTTAAAAATAATACGAAAATGTTATACAAGTTATTAATAAGAATTTTATATAGGAGATTTAAAATTAAATATTATATTGAAACTATTTACTATGAACATACATATAGCCCGTTCTACACATTACTTAAGCAGAATTTATTGGCGTGACTATAAAATCTTCTTAGAAATAATAAATGGTGTGTAATGAAATTATAATATTTAAATATACAATACGGACTTTTGTGTTTATAATGAATACAAGCAGAACCCGCGGCTTCGCTTGCAATTTTTTTTTAACGGTTTTCACTTCTTTTTCGTATTCTCCTTAGCAAATCCTTTCATTTAATATCCATATCATGGAGGTGCAAAAAAAACAATCCGTCATCTTTGGTCCGTATATAGTCCGTAGTCCGCCATATCGGGTTTACAATGATGTCAATTTACTTAATGTATTTCGGTCATCAATCTTTTTTCATTTGATATCCATATCATGGAGGTGTATAAAAAGACAGTCCGCCATAGAAGTCCACTATATTGGATTTACAATAACGTCACTTGCTTATTATGTTTCGCTCATCAAGCCCTTTCATTTGATATCCATATCATGGGGTTCATAAAAAAACAGTCCGCCATCTTTGGCTTTGGGAGTCCGCCATATTGGTTTTATAACGGAGTTACCTTGTTTATTGTGTTTCGATCATATTTTTGAAATGGGTTCAGTATTTTCTGAGCTTAAAGCACTTAAACATAAGTTCTACAATAATGCATGGAAGTCTGCCCGATTTGTTGACTTATACTGCTTCGGTCCCTTGGGTAGTAGCATGATGATATATAGCCCTCCTCAATAAATGGGCTAACTAAAGCAAGAATAATTTTTCAAACCTGATCAATAGTTCCTGAGATTAGCGCGTTTAAACAAATAAAGAAATAAACAAACTCGGTCTCTTTATAATTTTAGTATAGATATATTTCTTTAGGCAGAACCCTAATTCTTTTTCTAACGTAAAATAGTTATAATGAGTATAGGTTACTCCTTATAACATCAGCTTGTTGCCAGTCCCGTCAAATGATTTTAATTATTATTAATGTTAGCCATCTTCATAGCGCTTTGTGATACCTTTCTTGGTTTCAATACGTCATATCCATATGAGTGCAGTATGATTCCAAAACATAAGATTTAATGTTAGAAAGCCTAATTGAAGCAAGTAGAGATCTGAAAACTATACAAGAGCTACAAATCCAAGTGCTAACTACCTACTAGTTCTAAAGAAAGTTTTAAAAGGTACATTGAACTAGCGACAGCCCTCGGCCATTCCATCTTTCTATTATTTGAATTTCTGATTATCCTCGAAAACAGATAAAATATCTAAAAAGTCATATATTTCTAAGTAGTCATTTATTTATATTTTGCCCGCGTTTAGATGACCAAAAACCAAAATTCTTAAGTTTTACATATAAGTATACTCTTACATTGCAGTTTTTGTATTTTTTCTTAGTAATGAGACATTCTCCCGCGATAAAAAGTATCCTATATGTTAACCAGGTTAACCAGCTGTCACCATACCAAATTTCATCAAAATCCCTCTAGTGGTTTTTCTGTGATGCGGTAACAGACAAACAGACAGACAAAAATTCTAAAAACTATAGATTCGGCCTCTGTATCGATAATAATGTTTATTTCAATAAGATTTTCCAAAAAATATTTAATGTACAGTACAGATTCGGCTTAGTTACAATTTTATTATCTGTACCTATAGATTTGCAAAGTGTATACAATAAATACACCACATGTAAAATGTAAATAAAATTGAATGTGCTCAATTGGCGTCTAATCTAATACCTACTCATAATTAATTGAATGATGTATTCTGAGATAAAATTATTTAAATAATTTATGAATTGGTTTATGTAATTTTAATTGAATATGATGAAATGCAAACCTTTCAAGCAAGAATTCAGCGTTGTGAATTATTACTTTATTTGATTTATAATTTAGATGTATTTAATTGAAATAGCAATCTATACATATAATAAAATTGTAACTAACCCGAATCTGTACATTAAATATTTCTTTGGAAAATCTTATTGAAATAAACGTTATTATCGATACAGATGCAGAATCTATAGTTTTTAGAATTTTTGTGTGTCTGTCTGTCTGTCTGTCTGTCTGTCTGTCTGTCTGTTTCCGCATCACGGAAAAACCACTGGAGGGATTTTGATGAAATTTGGTATGATGATAGCTCGTTATACGGGTCAACTTATAGGATACATTTTACCGCGGGAAAATATCTCATTTCTGAGAAAAAATACAAAAACGGCAATGTAAGAGTATACTAATATGTAAAACCTAAGAATTTGGTTTTTGGTCATCTGAACGCGGGCAGAGCCGCGGGCAATGCTAGTTGTGATATATTATAATTTTTACTACGTATTGTATGTATTGTACTATGTAGGTACATATTTCTATTTTATTCAAGTGAAAACATGCAGATAATATTACACTTCAAACTATAATATGAACACTTTTATTATTAAAAGATAAAATTATAAAAAAATATCTAAATATACATACTTTTTGTCTTGTTTTTATATTATGTCGACATTTTTGGTTTTAAATTAAATAATTATTTTTATCCCAGTACCAGAATTACTTACCCTTTTTGTACCTCAAAATAAAATCATTGCTAATGTAATAATAAAAAAATATTTGTAAATATGTAGGTACAATAATATAAATAGGTAAAATAAGTGAATTATTAACATATTATATATGTATATATATATATATATATACATATTACATAAATATGTACCACCAATCTAGATTCGCTTAATCGCGACGTAGCCATTTTGTTGTAGAGCCAAGTGCTACGATCTCTGATTTTCCTAAGCCATTTAAAAAAAAATATTACTATCAAGCTCTATTCTCGTGAATAGCTTCGTTTGAATAAAATTTTCAGATTAATTCACCACCTAAATTGTTGATGATGGTAGCTTATACAGAATACAGATGTAAAACATGTTAAATGGTAACTATACAACACTAACAATGTCCTAACATTAGTACTAACAGATAATGATTTACTTACATAATGAAAGCAACAAAGCAATTTAAACTCTCGCTATAGAGAAAAAAATAAAAAAGCCCAAAAAACATTACCGAAATACCTTTATAATTAACTAACGACTCACCCTCACTTCGCTCGGGTTCATCCCTAGGTTCCCCATACAAACTTTCAATCCCATTTTCACCTTACGTACGCCGATACGCCGATACGCCTTACGGTACGTCGTTATTCGTCAAACAGTAACACATCCGTTACTCAATGTCAAAGTCTATCTGTGTACTTACTAAATATCATCCAAATTCATTCAGGCGTTTTAGAACGAAAAGTACCAAACTTTTATAAACTTTAGCAATTATAATATGTAGTTAATATTTAGTTTTTATTATAATAGCAGTATAACTAAATTAGCTTTTATATGATGTTAGTAATAAAACTCTTTGTTCCACAGGTCTGCAGGCTGCTATGAATTCTCGTTTGATGACACGATTGGCTCAGTTTGCAGTGACCCTACTTGCTGTGTCAGCGGTCGCGGGTCGAGTCCCGCAGGGGACCTTCATTTGTGTGATTAGCACGTACGTTTGCACTCCAGTCATGTGTGTTTATATTTATAATATGTATGTAATTAAAGTTATATATGTATGTAGTGTATAAACTATCTTGTATCCATAACACAAGCCTCATAGCTTACCATGGAACTAGATGGCGCTGTGCGTTAATGCCCCAACATATTTATATTTGTATTAGACTTTATTAACTTGATAAATTTCTTAGTACGTGTTGGATGCCTGATTTTTATAATAATATTAAAGTTTCATACTATTTGTTCACTCTTTAAATGACGTCAGAAAAGGGGCATTACTAAATGTGTAGAGAAATTTAGCGTAAAAAATGAAATAAAAAGGCACATATTAACGAACAACATTTAATTATATAGATAGACTTGCTATGAAAAAGTATAAATAATATAGCCACGGTAATTTAATGCATATATTACCGTGATATAGCTTTAAAGTATTCGAATGGGAACAAAAATAAAACAATATTGGACAAAAATATGTTTATTTACAAATGAAAGGATGTACAGAAATTAAAGTAAGCATGCAACAACAGAAAATAAAATTCGATAAACAATGCGTTCACTTGTTATTATCGTTAAACAAAACAATTCATATAAAAGATACGAACACAAATATAATTATCACGTAAAATTAATGAACAAATCAACATTTGAAAGATAAAGTTATTTATTATAATATGTTTATTAAAAACAAAATAAAATTTACTAATTGAAAATTTTGCTTAATTTTACCTTTTTTACTTAAAAAAATATTTATTTTTAAAATCATTAGTTCAAAATCCCAACCATTTTGAAATATTTGAATAAGTAAATCCTTTACTAAAATATACACAAGTAGCAATTTAAATATAATAGATGAACAATTACTAGATATAAATAAAACATTTTTATATTTTCAAAGAAATTGTTTTTTATAAGTCGACCAGTTTTAAATTATCAGCAGCATATAATAATTTTAGTTTTACATTTTCAATTGGAAACAATTTTGTAGAAGAAAGTCATATTTATTATAGTTTTTCTTATTTTAAGCGAGGTTTGTTTGACAAGTGAGCTGTTACTTACCGCGGCGAGTGCGCCAGAGCAGGGCGAAGTACGCGAGCAGACGGAACCCAATGAACAGTAACACCATGTTTACTACGTCCATTGTGAAGTCTTTCTGTAATTTGGAAATAGTTCGTATAATTTCTTTAGTATATTTTAAATATTATATATTTTTTGAAAGACATGTGAAGTCCGCCCGCACTTGACCAGCGTGGTGGACTATGGCCTGATCCCCCTCGTACGGAAGGGAGGCCCGCCTCCAGCAATGGCATATTAAAAAGGACTGAATATATAGAAATATTTGTGATTTAAAATGCCTTAGACTAGTATGTATTTTATAATCTATTTTTATCAGTAGAGATAGTAAGACGAAAATATAATATATAAATATTGATGTTTAGTTTTTGTCAAAGTTTTTTATCGTTTTGTATTTTATCTTCATTATATTTATTAACGTTTAGGTGTTATTAAACAAATCTTGATGAGATATGTAAGTATTTTAGGACCTGAGATTCAGAATATATATTTTTTATACTCTTCCTAAATTAGTAGAGACAGTAAGGTGAATAATTTAGATTATTTATTAAAGGTAAAACATAAATATATGAGAATATCCACCAGGTCTTAAACCTTTTTACAATTAATTAACAACTATTATTTAGTATACACTTAACAGCTAATATATTATACAAGAAAAAGCTCTATGAGAGAGCACCTAAAACAGCTAGAGCTAGGTAGAGCTAAATTATGCTCAAAAATAAAAATACAAACAGTTATATCATCACAGATCAAGCACAGTTACGCTAATAACTACATTTTTCAAAAATTCTGTTATATTCCATGACCAACGAAGAATTCATATATGGTACCTCTATTTACAAAGTAGGATAAAAACAAAAACAAACCTCGGAGAAGCTGAGCGTGGTGAGCACGACCTCCCCGCTGGCGGGACACGTGAAGTTCTCGCGCGTGCAGGCGATGCTGTCGACGCCGGCCCACTGGTTCACGAGCAGCGCCTCGTTGCCGTAGCGGAACCACGACAGGTACGAGATCCAGCCCAGGTACGGCGGCACGGAACTGGTCGACCAGAAACAAATATAGTTTAAATAAATGTCTATAGTACTTTCTTAGATTTACGTGAATATTTGATATTTTGCAATATGCTTTACAGCAATCATGGTTACGGGAGAGACTAAGGTGTGCATACCCACTATTTTACAAAATTTCTATATATTTTACTATATATTTTTTTTTAAATGTCAATAGATCAAGATGTGCATGGATTTAGTAGTGATGTTTATATAATATCACTATTGCCGCGTCTGTGTGTCTGAATGCGATAAACTAAATTCATACAGTTTTCGCCAATGGAACCGAGTGATTCATGAATGAGGTTCCGGTGTATACTAAATTCATAAAGGTTTTGTGCAGATTCGCTGAAATATGATTAATTTTGTTAAAGATATCGGAAAAAATCATCAACCGGGAGATCTTTACTGTTGTACGCCGCGTGAAGTAGATATATACACAGTTATATGAAAACTAAATATTACGTTGTAATATTGCATTAAAAAATACCCCGGTTACAAAAAGTCATACAAGTTTTGATTTTGCATTTTATTTTTAAATTAAAGCAGATATGTATTTTAATAAAATAAAATAATTTAACAATATACAGGTCTATCATCTATTTAGACAAAAATACCCGAAGAAAAGTCCTATTTGGACTAGATTTTAGGGAAGATTTTATAGGTTTCAAGAGACAAATGGTCACACTAATATTATAAATGTGAAATAAAAAAATAAAATATGAATTAAAAAAAAATATCAAAATTAATTTCACTACAAATGATAAACAATAGGACGCTGCACAAGTCCACAGTATTTCAACATAAAATAAGCTACCAACTTGTTGTATCTTTCTTAAGTAAGTAGCTTGATATTATTACTACGAGTATTTTCGATAAATACCTAATATTATAATCATCATCATCATCATCGCCCTGCCCATTTCCCAATAACTTATGGTCAGCACAGTACATCTTCTGTACTGCTGATAGGATTTGGCAAAAGTTTAACGACCGGCCGCCTGCCTGACGTCAACCCTCCATGGAAATAATAATATTATAAATACATTCTAATTATATACGTAAACTATAGAATTATATGTATATACATATAATTAAGCAAGTAAGCTTGACCTTTACGATGTTAACACTTAATTAGCTTATATAATAGCGACAATTTATTTCATCTAAGCAAATATATCCCGTCTACGACACGTTCCTGCTACGTCTGGTATAATGAATGAATTACCTACAAGTATATGGTGAATTATTTAAAGAGGGTTTTTAACATATATTTGAATTTTTCTGCGGATACAAATATGAAAATAAATATTCGCGTAAATCTTAGAAAGTATTATTAAAATTATTATAATCGGCTTGCGTGTATGTACATTTGTTACTTCACATGTTGAGACGGCTGGTGATATTTGGATGAAATTTGATACACTATGATCTAGAATAACATATTGGCTTTTGATACCTATGGACGTAACCAAGCCAAGGTAAGTAGCTAGTTAGTAATATACAGGATATCTCACCCAGAGTTAAGGAAGAATCCTCCAAACAACATGAAGGGGATGATGATGGGCGGTCCCACAGACGCCGCCATGCTCACGCTGCTGCTGGCGCAAGATATAAGGTAACCTGTGGATATAACAAAAAATATATAATAATTAATAACCACACTACCCTTTGTCGCCTAAATGCTTATTTGATCAAACGGCTAATATTTATTTTAAGTACTTTATACTAGTACTACTAGTACAGTGTTTTTTTTCCTCTATTCTAAAAACAAAGCTTTGTAAGATTTATATATGTAGATAAAATATTTATTTTCGGTATTATCAAAGTTGAAAAAAGTAAAATACTAAAAGAATTGCCATCTAAAAGCCCATAACTCTGTAATAAAAAAACTTTCGGTCAATTGGTTGTTTGGACAAATATATAGCGCTGAGACGTCAGACAACGTATTATAAATCCGAAAGTTTGTACATAATATATATATTTGTGCGTTTGTAATTCCTTTACAATGATTTTTTTACAAAGTTAGACTATATGGCTTAAAATTAACACACAAGATGTACATTTAGTAATAAAATTTGTCAAATATTATGAAAAAAAGATGTAAATAAAAATTTGAATCTCGTCGAAGTTCTAATCTTTATAATTAAATTTTGAATGCAAGCTGAGATTTAGCTTTAACCAAATATGCAAGATAATATGATTTCTTGATTTTTTTAAATATGTACCTTTAGGTTCCAACCAAATAAAAGAAACGTTCAAAGTAAATGAAATGTGTTGTTTCCATTATTGTGTCTAACTATTGCTCTTTGACACAATTTTCAAAATTATATCTTAAAATGTTAATATTATGCTAAGTTTTGAGGTTTAATTAAAAAAATATTGGTTTCTATATAAGTTCCGTTTCACTTTTATTCCCACCACTCTGAACATTCGAGCGAAATCGCGATCTAGTGTCTAATGTCTTATATAGACTAAGATAAGCCTGTATAGGTACTAATATTATAAAGAGGTAAAGTTTGTGAGTTTGTGACGTTGTAGGGGGTAATCCCTGGACCTACTGAACCGATTTAGAAGAAATTTGATAAGCAGATAGAGACCCTGGGAAGGACATAGGATACTTTTTATACTACTTAAGGGGGTGAAAATGGGGATGAAAATTTGTATGGGGAGTTAATTATTTATACAAATATTCGTCCAATACAAAAGAACTCGAATTTGCGAACTTTGACATAGTAGACAGCAACAAACGTTCATAGTTTACGACGGCTATCATTTATTTTAATAGTTTAACATTTGAAGTTTGTACTTTGTACTATACAATGTACTTAGGTAGAATAAACCTCGGCTACGTGGTTATTACAAATCATTTCGTAATAATATTTATCAATGATGCAACCCTGTATGATGTATCTAACGACAAAACGATTGCACATTTTTTAATAATTACAGCGGCAAAGACGACACTTAAGCTATAATTAATTTAAAATTGTGTTAAATTGATTTTAATTCGATTTTAATGTTCGACATTAGCTTAAATATTTTTTACGCATATTAAAAATTATGCAACAAGTTGTGGAAATTGCGTAATATTGCGTAAAAGTGTTTTGAAAATCTAGACTTGTTTTTATCATTTTCTTTTTATAATAATTTTTTTTATATAAACGGCAGATTATGTGTAAACTAACTATATTTAATGATAAACTATATAATATACATACGATGCCTATGTAATTTATATCCTTAACACTGCGTTTTACATCTTATCTATATATATAGTTACGTACTATGTAGGTAAGTATTCTATATAGAAAATTACTCAGTTCTCAACTTCTATATAGGCTCTGTCCGTCCATGTGAGGTAATAGCAACTGGGGTAAAAGTCTCGTATATCTATACTCTATATCTCGTATATACATACTCATAAAATAAAATTCTAAGTCAAATCTGTACATTAAATATTTTTTAGGAAATCTAAATAAAATCTATTAATATAAAATAAAAACTGAAAAAAATATTTTGTAGCGTTTGTTTAGGGAAAGTTAAATAATAAATAGGCTATTTCAAATAAGTCATTACCCTATGATCCTTAGGAGCATAAAACTAAGAAGGCTCTTCATACACAAAAAAACTGTTTATGGATCTTTTTCTTTTTGCTCTATTATTAAACACTTTGTATACTAACTCTAAGGAAAAAAATATCAAAAAATACACAACTCGTGTGAACCGCATTCATGTTAGGGTTTTAATGGTCTATACGTATATCTTTTTTTAGAGGGTTAGCTTTAGACGTTGTCGTTTTATCGTTGAAGTTTACTTGAAATTTATGACTTGAAGAAAATTAAAAGGCTTTAAAAAGGTGTATGAAATGTACACAATCTGTACTATAGTTTATTTTACGATATATGTATTTGTTAAAATATTTGCTTCAAGGGTAAATTATAGATTTTTTCATTATTTTAAAGCCTCATATTTGATTTTTAAATATTGCTAATGAATAACAAAAGAAAAAAATGTATGTGGCTTAATTAAGTACAGAGCGACATGAATATGTACGGATTCCAAACAACAGTCTCTTGTACCGTCCTTATTAACATAATTAATACTTTCGAAATTTAAAATCAGCCCGAGTTTGAGGCCCTTCGAAAACCGGTTTATTTAATGAGGGGACCTGAACCAGAAGGCTGTTTGGCAACAGTCGTCATCATCAATTCCCCTTGGAATAATTTTATAAACGTTTTTTTACACAACTTATTGCAATGTCATATTTATGATATTTTATTTATTAATGTGGATATGAATATATGAATTTTATTAGAAACTAGCTTTGGCTTGCGACTTGCCGTTGTTTTTCTTTATTTAGTATTCGACTACTGACGATGACCTCGACTTTGCACAAGCTTACAAGACTAATATTAAAAAATCGGTCAAGTGCGAGTCGAATTTGCACACGAAGAGTTCCGTACCACTTATACACACACACATATTACGTACATATACTTTTTATTAATATGACTTTTACTCTATGTATGTTAGTATATTACCTTCGATGATCGATTACGAACGTTAAAAAATGTTTCTTGTATATATTTTTTATTATTTATTGTCATAGCGGCAATAGAAATACATACTCTGTGAAAATTTCAACTCTTTACCTATTACGGTACATGAGATACAGCCCTTTGATGAGGCTTTCGTTTTAAGTCCTATTGCTTCTAACGCCTTCTTCATACTAAATAACGATTCAATAGATTTGAGTGAAATACGGAAATCATATAGATATGTATTAATTATAATGTAAAATGATACTTAAAGAAGCGCTTATTAAGTTTCAAGAAAAATGTTGTTTTTCAAAATGAATTTACATTTACAGGTATTTTTCGATCATATTATCATAAGTAATTTTAAAGAAATTAGTACCTACCTTAGTAGTAGTAGGTAATAGTAATAATTACCTTCGAGAGCACTCGTTGGTTTAAGGTTCTATCAACGTAATACATTAATTTGACTTGACGTCATGTTTGGTTCAGTTTGTAGTAACCCTACTTGCTGTGCCAGCGGTCGCGGGTTCGAGTCCCGCTGGGGGTATTCATTTGTGTGATGAGCACGAATGAACGTACTCTAGTCATGGGTGTTTATATTTGAAATATGTATGTATTTAAAGGTAGATATGTGTAGTGTATCAACTATCTGGTATCCATAACACAAGCCTTGCAGCTTATCATGGAACTATATAGTGCTGTGTGTTAATGTCTCAACATATTTATTTTTATTTGTGTTTCTATTAATACACTCAATTGAATATATAATGTAAATTCTTTAGAGGTAAATAAACAATCGACCTTTTGTGTAAATCAGATAAGAACAATGCTACGACAGCCTCATAAGTTGTAAGTGAAGCGCAATATTTGTGACTATTTATATGTAATGGCTTTGTTACATACAAAGCCATTACATTTTTAACTCATTTGAATCCAGTATTTAAAACACTTTAATTTGCCCATGATTGCTTTTTAATTAAAATAAAAGTATGCAATAAAATCCCGTTTTTAAAATAATAGTTAAAAGATAAATAAAAGTAAAATACATGGTCCCATCCGGAACTCGAACCCAGGATCTTAGAATATATAACCATATGTGCAACGCTCACATCAATAAAGTACTCATGGTAAGTAATACTATAAAGCCTGATAATACAGTGATAACCAAAGTCTATCCTAGATTTAAACCATAATTATAACGTAACTTTTGTTAATTCGCATTACCATTTGAGATCTAAACACGCTTTGTGATATTCACCGAATGACAACGAAATAGTACATGTACTGCTACTTTTAATCGATATTCTATTCGAGTGTAGTAGAATTACTTCTTCAGTTAAGCTGACTTATATAAACAAATACCAATAAAGCTTCACCACATGTAAGAAGCTGAAGATGGTGAAAACGAAGACGTTGTCATTAAATACTTGAACCAAATTAAAAGAACCATTTTGGAAATCAGTAGCAACAGTATAAAACTATATGTAAAAGTTTGTATATGTATGTCAGTTACAAATAGCCTACTATAGGTACCTTTTTTTTAATTTTTTATACAACAGCTAACGTCGTTATATAATTGTAAAAAAACATATCCAGTTCCAAAAAACTTAAAGTGTCAAAAGAATTTTAAAAATCAAACCGATACTGAGTTTAAACGCCCGCCACTTCGCGCGCTTGGTGTGACGTCACAGTATGATACTACTTTTAAGTACCCGAACTAAGTGAAGGTTGGTCGTAAGAAAAATACAACTAGACTTACCAAAGGAAGTAGCGACATTGGTGATCAAAGCGGCTAATCCTGAGGCTATGAAGAACCTCTCCGGCGCAGGGTTCAGCCCGATCATATAGTAGGCGATGGTAGTGAAGACGAGAGGGATGGTCGCGAACACGGGCGCCTCCGCCAGCGTCTTCGATAGGAAGTACACGTCCGCGCGGTACATGCCCGAGTGGTGCTCCCGGATGAAGATAGGCAGCTCGGAACAGAACACCTGCAAGTGATTTTGATTTATAATATTGTAAATATTGCCTTTTCAACGTCCCACTGCTGGGCACGGGCTTCCCTTCAATACGATGGGGATCAGGCCATAGTCCACCACGCTGGCCAAGTGCGGGTTGGCGGACTTCACATATCTTTTGAAAACTTGCTAGGTTCTCTCAGACATGCAGGTTTCCTAACGATGTTTTCCTTCACCGTAAAGACAAGTGGGAATCATGTTGGAAATTATTCACACATTAAAATATCAGAGAGGTGCTTGATCCGGGATTCAAAACTCACTTCACTCGGTTTCCCAAGCGAGCGCGTTACCATTGGGCTTTCACTGCCTTCATTTATATTTATAATATTACCATCAAATATTACAAGTCAACGTGTTTAAATTATGATATAATTTATCTTCACTCAGAATTTGATTTTAATTTGGTGAGCTGTTTAAAGTGAGGGTAAAAAATGACATACATTGTATATTTGGGAAAGTTACATCAAGCCGAAAAACATCTTATATCTAGGAGTATATGTATAGTTCTAAATAATTGTTAAATACAACTGAACTACCCTGATTAACGTATCATTTTTAAAAATCACAAAAAAAACTTGCAGAAACGAATTTTATCACAAATAGAACGCCAGTTAAAGAGAAAACTGATTTTTGATTCAACTGCTCTCAAATAACAAAACATATTACAAATTGTTTGTTAAGAACAACTTTCGAGGAACAGATTTAAAGAAGGTATAAGCTTACATTGATGACAGCGAAAATGTTCTGGAAAGTCATGTTAGTGAGGAACATGAAGATAGCTCCGTTGATGTTCATCACCCCGTCCTGGTCCAATTGTTGTCCAAAATATATCACGCCTATCAGAATAGCCACCATCTGGAAGTCATACGATATAATATGTTTTATCTATACATATAATAAAATTATAACTGAGTCGAATCTACACTCTATATATTTCATTTGTGTGATGAGCACGAATATTTGTACTCCAGTCAAGGGCAATAACAAATGCCTCGAACATTACCGTGGTACTAGGTGGTGCTGTGTATTAATGTCCCTACATATTAAACATATATATAACAATTAAGATCGTAACGATGCTTTACAGAAAGACCTCCTACCGGACCAGGCAATCATAAATTGCGAAAAAGCAATACTCACAATTGTCTGCAAGAAGCGGACTTTAATCAACATGGGCTCCTTAGTAACAGAGAGCCAGGAGCGCCACAGCACGGCGCGGAACTGCGCGCACCACGACGCCTTGTAGGGGGACCTCCGGGAGCGCATGGCGGCCGCGCTCGCCCACGCTGAGTCCGCCCAGCCAGAAGAGATTTTACGCTGTTTTAGAGGAAAGTTTATAGGAAACTAGTACTTGGAAATTAATAGAGGAATTAAGAAGGTTGTAGTCATCAAAATGTTACATGCATATAAATAAGAATATATGTCGTGGGTGTGTTCGTGTCATAATCACAATACGTGACATAGAATGGGAAGAATGGCAGAATGTATTGCGTTTGTCGTTAACGTAACTAAAAGAAAAAGAAAGGATATGAAAGTTTCACCTGCTGTAATTTATTCGAATTTTTGTTAATCATTAGGAAATTACATTGTATTCGTTCGTGTATAAAAATCGATCACGTATCAAAGTATGACTTTTTATACTAATACGAGAAAACACCTTTCATTGCCAATATACAAAGGTAAAAACTTTTGTTTCGGTTAAAAATGAAACCTCTCACTTGAGTTTTTATCAAATTCAACTCAGTTCGGTCATGAATGCATACTTCTTAGTCATACTTTCAGATGAGTACATATTGAATCAGCCCTGTTTAACGTCCCACTGCTGGGGGTTGGCCTTCATTCAATACGAGGAGGATCAGGTTATAGTCCACCACGCTGGCCGAGTGCGGGTTGGCTGATACATATATTCACATCATAATATTAAAAAAGAATATTAATATTTGACAAGTATATACGCTAATTTTACTAAACTAAGCTATTTTTCCTAAATACATTTAACTCTTACTTCGTGAAACAGTGCATTTTCAGCCTCTGCGGCGAGCTTACAGCCGATTTCTGACTTCGCAAATGCCGTACACACGGTGTCGATTGTATGTCGAGTTGTTTCTTCTCGTCCGGGGATTCCCGCCAACAGTTGTATGTAATGGTCCGCTGGGTTATAGTTTGCGGGGCAGGCTGCCCCAAGCCTACAAAATTAACCCCAATTTAAACTAAGGGTCATTTTATAAGTCTATACATTTTATTTATTAAGTGAAAAAATATTGTAAGGCAGCGGGAATCGAATCCGTAACCTCGGCAAACTAAGAAAGACCATACTCATTTATCACTAATATTATTTATATACGAGTATGTACTATCATATATTTTTTATCCAAATGTATATACAATTAGAGAAAAATATATTTAAATAGCAAATAAAATCTTTCTGTGCTATTTCGATCGAGATTATTCAGTAACTGTGCAGGACAGTCAACATAAGATCAAACAATTTAAGTATACACAAAGATACATTTACAATTTTTATGTAATAGGTATACAATTTTCAATATATCCGGAAACATCAAAATAAACATTTCATTTAAAGTTCAATTAAAGATTATAATTGTGTAACACCGTCTGATTCACCGTGTCCGGAATTAAATGTATTTTGTTTGGACTCTAATGGCTATACCTTTAACATCTATACATATAATAAAAGTGTAATTGATCGCTGTCTGTATATGGAAGATATTTGAGAAAAACTAATATTGGGGGTCTTTATTAACGCAATGGAACTCAAAACAATGGCTTTTAGAATTTTTGTCTGTCTGTCTGTACGTTTGTGCGCGCTAATTTCAGAAACGGCTATACCGATTTGGGTATAATCACTTAACATTTAGTATTTGTTTTATTTCAATCGGTTCATAAATAAAACAAGTTATGTCAATTCAAAGAATCATCTAGCTACTCGTATTGTAAAATAAAAATAAAAGATTACAATAACTGGTTTGGTATCCAAATTATGTACTTACTCTCTAAAGAACTCAGTCGCTTGATCCGGAGATCCGAGAAATGCCACTCTCCCATCAGCCATTATAAGGAGCTTGTCGAACATTGCATAGAGCTCGGAAGACGGTTGATGTATCGTTACAACTATAGTTTTACCTTTTTTAGCTAAGCCACTCAGAACCTAATGTAAGAAAATTATATTTTAATTAAAATTAAAGTTATTTTAAGGTCTATATATAACATAGTACGTATTATTATGATTGAGTAGAAGAACAAAATGTTTTTTTTTTTGGTTTTGATTCGATTTTTAACCTTCACGTAGCAGTAAATAAAACCAGCAAAATGTGATTTTTATTGATATATATTCGACAAAATGAAAACAAGATACGTTTTTTTTTAATTATTCTGAATCATTTGATGCATAATTTAATAATAAAAAATATCTAGTTAGAGACCACTTTGGACTTCATTTAATTAAAAATTGCGAGTTATATATATTTCTCACTTACCTGAATAACATTTTGTGCCATAAAAGAGTCTAAGCCAGATGTGGGTTCATCGCAGAACATAAGCGGGGGGTCGGTAAGGACTTCACTAGCGAAGGAGAGCCTCTTCATCTCTCCACCAGATATACCCTTCAAGCGTCCTGGTATGCCAATTACTGTATTTTGACACTTTGTAAGTGCCAACTAAAAAAATATAAAAACAATTAGAATTTAGTTGTATGTAATATGTATACATTTTATGTATAGATTATATGTATGGATTAGAAAGAGTCAACATCAAAGATAGAGAGAGTCAACATAAAAGATAGAAAGAGAGAGGGATAGTACTTATTAGCGGTACAGTGACACTTTCGTTTCCCGCACACCGTCTATATTAGAACAGTGTCCTAAGGATGATCGGTTCTCGCATTCATAGCAAGCTACACATGTCATATAGGACCACGATGGTCATTATAATATACTTAAAAATAGGTAAGTATTTTCATTTGAGATTTGACTGATGTAGATTTATATTTCGACAAATATTACAGTGGATAACGCAAAAGCAATAATTGTTAGCTAAGTATCTAACATTTTCATTATAATAAAAGCTCATCCAAAATTATAAAAGCTTGGGAATATTTTAAGGCTCCAATCTCTCTCCAAGCTCTATAACAGGATTGTCTGCACGTTTGGCTCAGTTTGTAGTGACCCTACTTGCTGTACCAGCGGTCGCGGGATCGAGTCCCGCTGGGGGCATTCATTTATGTAATGAGCACGAATGTTTGTACTCCAGTCATGGGTATATGTGTAGTGTATCAACAATCTGGTATCCATAACACAAGCCTCGTAGCTTACCATGGAACTAGATGGTGCTGTGTGTTAATGTCCCAACATATTAACAGGTCACATAAACAAGAAATAAAGTAACAAGCAAGCAGTAAGAAAGCAAGGTTAATAATAATGATTTATAACTTTGGCCATAGCAGTGTCCAAACTAACTCTTTGTTCAGCAACACTAATCTATCAAGTGATGCCTGCTAAGATTAACGATAAGTGCTTTTTTTTGGAGTATTCTAAAACAAAAAGGTGTATATTGTATAGAAATTGATACAAATTTAGATTTAGATAGAAATTTAATAATTTTAATATATTTTTCATGTATGTATGCATTCAGCCCTTTTTAACGTCCCACTGCTGGGTACGGGCCTCCCTTCAATACGAGGGGGATCAGTCCATAGTCCACCACGCTGGTCAAGTGCGGGTTGGCGGACTTCACATGTCTTTCAAAAACTTGCTAGGTTCTCTCACACATGCAGGTTTCCTTACGATGTTTTCCTTTAGCGTAAGGCAAGTGTTAATCATGTTGGAAATGATTTGCACATGAAAATATCAGAGGTGCGAGACCTGGGATTTGAACCCGCTATTGGGCTATCACTGCCTGCATGTATTAAACATAAATTATGTGAGAAATGCTTGTTCTATTTCCCGCACGCGACCGGTACGGCGCAATCGGATTATACCGTCTAGTTCTTTAGTTACACACTTTTAATCCAATTTTTATTGTACCTACGAGTTTTATATTTAAGAAAATACTAACCAGATATTTATCAATAAAATATTGACCAATAAATGACGCAACTAGGGAAGTGATATTGGTTTGGTATAAAAATACCTTAAGATCTTAATCATAAGGCAATTTATCGATTATGTCAATTTTGTTTGTTATTTATAAAATATTTTATTAGCTTCAAAATTAAGAATTTCACAGCAAACGTTTGATTGGTGATGATACTATTCGGTCATAAATTAGTTGAAACTTCATCTTTAAACTCTTTTATTTTTATTCTAATGAATGAACGACCTCTCTAACCGTCAGAGCATATTGATATTTAAATATAAGAGTTGATTGTGAGAATTCTTATCATTGATGGACCGGTATTATGAGATATTTTAATAAATTATAATGCGTAATTCATATTCACTGTCATAAGGAAACCAGATTATTATTTGAATATTCAGTTAGCATCTGCCAATAGCACACTCAGATTGATCAAAAAACTAGATAAATTTTGTTTATTATAATCTATACTAATATTATAAACTACTTCTTTATAGTTTGTAAGTTGTATTAGAAACGTTAGGAACCACAAATCAAAATCTGAAAAGATAGTTTTTAACCGACTTAAAGAAGGAGGAGGTTCTATGTTCGTCTGTATGTATGTTTTTATTTATGTTTGTAACTTCGAATCTCTGAACTACTACTCATCCGATTCTGAAAATTCTTTCACTAATAGGAAGTTATAAGCTATTTTTAATTCGATCTAATCTTTAATTACTTTACTAATCTTTAATAATATTAACTTTATACTTTTTATTCATATCTTATTTATCGTCTTTTCTATGAGGATATCTAAATTTAAACGGAGATTTTACTCATATAATTTTATTTCTTTGACTTTTTCTATACATTTTCTTTCATGACAAGGGGGAGTACCCCCTTGCACGCCCTTCGTGGCGCCCATGAAATCCGTATAAGAGTATCCTTTTTAAAGTCGGTCAAAAATATATTATGACTATGATAGCTATACGACTACATGTATTTCCTTAAACACAAATAACGATACTAAAAATATTTCAATCAATTTTACGAAACTAAAAATCTAAATGTATTTATAAATAACGTGTACTATAACCAGTTTCTACCAACTCCATTATTGTATGCCATCAGACGGCACGTCACGTTTTAAGCTCCGCCCACATGTATCAGACTTGATTTTTTATTGGAAAACTAGAATTGATCATAGACTTAAAATAATAGAGTACACTTCTAAATTATACATGCATGCATAATTATGTCATATACATACATACAGTACGTTTATACCAACGAGTACATAATACATGTATGTAAAATAATTGTAAATGTTTGTGCCATCTAGTAACAACAAAAGCTCTTTATAGGGAACATCCAATATGAAAACTGGAAAAATGGTAAACGATTTCTTTACTATTTTTCCATTTTCCGTATGTGTATTACATATTTTGAATAATTTTATAATATGTAACACATTTGCCTATTACCTGCGATTTTAAATAAAATACCAAGTATTAACACATTACTGACAATGTTGATGGATGTTGATCCATTCGTTTTTATTACATTAGCTTTTTTTTTCTTGAAATAATTCGTTCTTTAAATAAATTAACTTCTTTTTATTTAAAGTTTGTCATTAGTTTTTGTTTCAACTTGGTTGTGTTTGATTAACAATAATATTTTAATCTTTTACAACATAAGTGATCTATTTTAAGCATGTTTCCTTTTACCCTAATATTTCAACACTAAATACTATTTGTAGACACTTACTTCAGATATGACTTCTTGCACTCGACGCATACGTTGTGCATATGGTATGTGTCGGTCCATTCGCACGAGGGCCTGGAACAATGAATTGAAATAATAGATAAAATGAATAACTTAAACATTTTAATGTATTATTATATTAGTATCCAGAAATTAACTGCCATCGATTTGCTCAGGCTATATTAAAACCGACACTTCATGCCTCCTTTAATGGCTTTTTTCAATACAAAAATAACGGTTCACAGAAGACATCTTGCGTGCATTGATTTGAGCTCGACGAGAATTAAGAGACAAGTATGACGAAATCATAAGTTTTTTGATACTACCAACTCGTTTTAAAATATAGAGTATTCATTTACAAGAGTTATTAAAATTAATTGATTAATTAAATGTCAGTATATAAGTTTGTGAGGAATCTACCACCGGTTCGAAAGGCAGTTCTGCTGAGAAGTGCCGGCGAGAAACTCTACAGCTGCTCTTTTTAAATATAATATCAATTTACAATATAGTACATTATGACATATGTATATGCACATAAACTTAATACTTTTTTAGATTTACACGAATACTTGACATTTTAAATAAAACTATCTTTTCGGATTTTTTCGCGAATTTATTTTGATTTTTGGTTCCCGACGTTTCGAATGCTTTACAGCAGTCGTGGTAACGGGAAAGAGGTCAGTCTTTTCGCGAAATTCGCGAAAAAAAATCCGAAAAGTTAGTTTTATTTAAAATGCACATAAACTTATTTTTGTTATTTATAAAATAAATATTTGCATATGTAAAACACCATTTAGGAGCTGGATTTGGTTTTAGATGATGTAATATGAAATGAATTACACTGTATAAGATTAGTAGAATTACAATGTATTTCATATGACGTGTATCTTATTGCTATTGGATATAAGCTCAAGGTTCATAATAAGCTGCTCTTTGCTTAAAATACTTATACTCGTAGAGGGATATTCAAGAAGATACATAATTTAGTATTACGAAAGCAATCTCATGTCAAACAATAGCTATATAACATGTATACTCGTACAATATATTGCTTCTAAAATCATTTTCGTTCGTGTAGTTGAAGTAAAATAATTATAATTATAGATAAGTATATGATTGCAGGCAACTGCTAAGTTTGTGAGAGGCAAGTTGAGGGTGACCATGTACGATTAATTTCAATATATTTTCTGCAACAATTAATCAAAATATATAATTGTATAATGTATATAAAAATATGCTTACTACTCGTTACTGTCTGAATGATCATCAATACAGATAAACAAAATTGAAGTGTCTGTTTATAATGTCAAAATAACAGCTTTTTACTAAATGCATATGGAATTATACCTATACGGTATTAATAAAAAAAACACACATTTTTTAAACATTTTGTCTGTCTGTCTATTTGTTCCGGCTAATCTCCGAAACGGCTGGGCCGATTTTAATGGTACTTTCACTGGCAGGTAGTTGATATTATAAGGAGTAACTTAGACTACATTTATTTTAGTAAAAGAATTAGGGTTCCGCTCAAAAAACAATTGTACCTAGGGACGAAATCGAGCGAAGCGAGGGTGAGTCGATAGTATTTAATAAAAGAAATATAGTTATTATTAATTAGTTTACGCACTGCTGTCATTACAATAAAAAATTTTTAACAAAAAAATAAAAACCGACTTCAAACAAAAGCACTAAAAAGTAAAAAATAACTGATTGGTAGTTTTCATTTACTATACATACCTAATCAAATATATTCGAAGTCGGTGTGCTTTCCTTTATATGGCCTGGCACCGATTTCGAAAATATTTGATTAGGTATGTATTTAATAGGTAGGCTTTAATTACTTAGCCAAAGCACACCGACTTCGAAAATATTTGATTAGGTATGTATAGTAAATGAAAACTACCAATCAGTTATTTTTTACTTTTTAGTGCTTTTGTTTGAAGTCGGTTTTTATTTTTTTGTTAAAAAGTTTTTATTTTTCCCTCTTTAGTGTAGACAGTAGTAGCAAAGTAAGAATTCTAACGTATTAGGCTTGTCAAATCAAACAAAACAAGCCCAAACTCAAAGTATCTACTATTAGCCGTTGAAGAGTTCCACCTATCCACCTTCTGGCCTTACCATCAGATCAGGTCAACAATACCGAACCACTGTACTATCAACGGAAATAGAAACACTTGCAAAGTTTCAAGTCAATATGACAATTAGAAGTAGGTTAAATTCATCATTAGCTATTTTTCCACCCTTAGGGGTGGTATTTTTTTTAAATTTAAATGGGACCAATCTGGAAGTATACACTTTCAAACAACACAAAAATTCTTCAAATCGGTTAATAAATGACGGAGTTCTGAGGTAACAAACATTAAAAAAAAACAGTCGAATTGAGAACCTCCTCCTTTTTGAAGTCGGTTGAAAAAAAAGTGTGATCCTATAAATAATTGTATTCTATTTATCTTCATTTAACTTCTAGTAATTATAAGCTTGTCACAAGTTGTTGCAGTCACATTGATATACAAGAGCTTTACGACAAACACTATTATCACATCCTGCTTGAGCTTAGAAAGATCAAAATTATGCTAACTACTTGCAAAGTGTTTAGACGAGGCGAGCCTGTATTTCTCAGCTATTGTATTGTATTGATTGTAAAGCTAAGCAACTTATTAAAATTTTTCTGGCTGTTTTTAATGGATTGTAAATAAATAGACTGATAGGCAGATATAAAATACTAAGTCGGGTTTTACTAAATTTCTAATATTTCCAGTTATTTAGCATTTACACAGTAACTTTTGATTTATGGAAAAATAATAATAATTATGTTAATCTAAGGCTTATTATTTTAATCAAAATTTTAAAAAGTACAGTTTTATTATACAAAATTGTCGAAACGTCTAAACCGGATATAACGACATCGTTTACAACGACGTATCGATTATTACGACGAAAAAGCAAGTTCCAGCCGAAGCTCTATTTATGTAAACATACCTTCTATAACAACATCGCATAAAGCTTTCGTTAAAGTTTCGTCGCTTAAAACGTCGAAACTTTATCGAAATTCATCGCCTATAACGAGCAACCGTCATACTTGTACACGACATGAATATTATTTTCAATATTTTTTCTTTATATTAGCTACGAACACTCTCCCACCCCATCCGCACCTCCTTCGCTCTCTTTGGCATTTGACCTTTCATCTTTTACGAATAGTGCGACAGTTGACAGCACATCATACGAAACATTGATTTTTTTTATACATATTTTGTTTTTGACCGGTTACTTTTAAAACGTGTTTTCTATAAGCTATACTGTTTTTAAGTTTCTTCAAAATAGAATTTTTGTTTGGTTTTTTGACATTTTATTTAAATACTAATTCATACTCTGAATACCTTCATACTGCATAATAATATTATGCAAATTAAATACATACATATATTTTACAAATTCAAATTATGTGTTTACTTGTATATTGCTTAGTCTGTCTGTTATTATATGGTCCCTTTAATGTCGTTATATGCGGTTTTGACGCTATAAAAGTTTTCACATGTTTGCAATATATAATCATTAGACATAGCATCATCGTACGTCGCGATATATTACATATACTAGCGATTCACCCTCGCTCCGCTCGGGTCGTCCCATCTTACGTTTTAACGTTTAATATAGATTTCTCAGAAATGAGATATATTCCCGCAATAAAAAGTATCCTATATATTTACCCGGATAACCAGCTATCATTATACCAAATTTCATCAAAATACATTCAGTGGTTTTTCCGTGATACGGTAACAGACAGATAGACAGACAGACAGACAAAAATTCTAAAAACTATAGATTCGGCCTCTGTATCGATAAAAACGTCTATTTCAATAAGATTTTCCAAAAAAATATTTTATGTACAGATTCGGCTTTACAATTTAATTATATGTATAGATTACATGATGGTGACATTTGATTGGAATTCGTGTCTTAATCTGGCACGTTAGTGTCCCCACCAAGACGAGCAAAGCGAAGCGCAAGGGCACTAACTACCTTTTTTTGAAGCGCTTCGTCGTTTTTTTGAACCCTCATAACTTAGGTTTGGATTATACCAGATAAACAAAATTCTCGTAATATGATGTCAATAGTAGACTTATTAAAAATATAAAGTTTCAATTGCATAACTATTATACTTTAGATTTAATTGATTGACTTTTCTAAAAACTCCTATTTCGTCACTGACTCACTGATGATCATCAAAATTCTTAGGGTACTTCCTGAAATCCTAGAAAGCTAGAATTAATCACCCCCTACCCTTTAAAATAAAAAAAATATTGTCATAAGCAACTTACAAAAAGAAGTGAAATCTCACTAAAAACATTTTCATGTAAAATGTTGCCAAGAATTTACTTTTTTGCTTACTCAAAATATGTGGCTTGGCCGTTTCGCTACTGTTACATGGGAGTAAGGTGACAAATTTATTCACTGTGCAATTTGCATTACTTTCCGGTGATATACAATAGTTCTTGTAATAACGATACGGCCAAGTCACATATTTTGAATAAGGTGTAGAGTTTGTGAAGTTAGGGCTTGTAGAGTTATGGCGTGTAGAGTTAGAAGTTTGGCTGTATCAGATCTCATGATCTGATAACTTTTTGACAATGTGAGCCATAAGGTCTCGTCTTGGCAACATTTTACATTAAAATGTTTTGGTGGGATACATAATTTTAAAGTTACGTCGCGCTTCCAATAAAGAAGATATTAATTATTTTATTAATATATTCTATATTTTAGTGAGAAGGTCATCAGATGTCGGCTGTCGCTAAGCTAAACAAATTCTAATATTCATAATTCGCCCACTGTATGTATATAATTTTAATTCCGATTCCGATATTCATTATATTCATTTTGTTGGATTAATAAATGATCTGCGCTCTTCTACTATTCTGCTGCATTATTTAGATGTATGTATATTTTTAAAGACTGTAAATTGCATTCCAACGAAACATAGCCCACTTTTACATTACATATAATAGAATTGAGTCGAAACATAATGTATTATGCATGGAATATATCCTTTTTTTCCACTTTTCTAAATTTCTATATACGAGTAAATTAACTAACTATAATTTCATCATCTTTCTTCAATCAATCACATAGCTAAAGCTGTTGCGTGTGCCAAGTTACTATTAGCATTGAGTCCAGGCGCCAACCTCAATGACTTATAAATTATATTAATCATACAGCAAAACCAGTACCAACCTACAAGACACTACTGCATAATGACACCAAGCTAGTGCACTCCAAGGAAATGATATATTATGTGCTCCGTAACAACTTCTGACAAGTTGGCATAATTAAAGTACATACATATAATATTGAACATAAAAATCTATACATATAATAAAATTGTAAGTAAGCCGAATCTGTACATTAAATATTTTTTTGAAGATCTTATTCAAATAGACATTTTTATCGATACAGAGGCCGAATATATAGTTTTTAGAATTTTTGTCTGTCTGTATGTGACCGCATCACGGAAAAACCACTGGAGTTATCCGGGTCAACTTATAGGATACTTTTTACTGCGGGAAAATATCTCATCTCTGAGAAATTTATACTAAACGTTAAAACGTAAGAAGGGACGAAACCGAGCGGAGCGAGGGTGAGTCGCTCGCTAGTGTATTATAATATTATTTTTTTTAATTCCAAAAGCCCTGTAGTGGACATGAATTTGCCTATTTTGAAGGTAATATGTGTTGTATCAAGGCTCTTATTTACGCTGTAATAACCACTGTTACACAATTACCTATGCCATATAATGATTAATCGCAAAGAACATGAACATACACTCAGTTTTACCTTAAATATATTATATCGTTATAATGTTAATACAAACAGGTAGCATATTTTATGATAATCTTTCAATAAAGCAACACTGTAGTCTATTATATTCAATTACAATTTTATTTTTATTGACTGTCCATAAATTAACATTTTTATTACAGGACTCTACATTCAAAAGATATTATTACAATTTGAACTTATTGTAGATATGACATTATAACTTCCTTAAAAATGACTCATTTTATTTTTTTTTATTATTAAAAAATAAAAGAATTAATAAAAATGAGGTATAAGTTATATTATATAATATTTAGATTAGATTTTTCTATAACAAAGGAAATAATAGCTAGCAATAATAGCTCGCATTAAAGTGGTGGCAAACGCATATACCTAATACTAATAATACTCTATTCGTAAGAAAACTCTTAAAGTCAAAAAAACCGTCCTTAGACCATATATTTCGCTGAAGTCGAGGACTTGAGTACTACGCCACGTGAGCGTTAAAATGTAGAGTACCTTACGTACACTCACACATATATATATATATATATATATATATATATGTGAGTATATATATATATACGTTAATTAAATCCTTCTATTGAGATGTTTGTCAGTACAACATACTATTACAGTCTAACTAGATTAAGTACTTACAAGTTCATATAATAAAGACATAATTCTTATGTCATATTAAATATGATTAACATGAATATGCGTACGCTTATTAACGAATTTTTATAGTTTAAATATCTGTTTGTAATATCAAAATAACAACTTTTTACTAAATGCATATGAAATTCAAATTATTTACGGTACTTTTAAAAAAACACAATTTTTAAAATTTTTGTTTGTCTGGCTGTTTGTTCAGGCTAATTTCCGAAACGGCTGGACTGATTCTGAGGGGACTTTCACTGGCAGATAGCTGATATTATAAGAAGTAACTTATACTCTTCATAACTACTTTTATTTTAAAAAACAATTAGGATTCCAGTCAAAAAACTTAATACCTACCTACTGTACCCAGTACTACTCTGATATACTGAGTTAGGTACTAGTAGATAATAAATGAAATAGCGATGGTATTAATATTTTCATATTCCTATTAGAAATATGATGAAGTTATATTATAGCAATATATGTTTACATGCCTACTTAATTAATAAAGTTAAAAGTTACGCTACCGAGCTGGTTTCCACTATAATTCTTAAAATTTCCGAACATTTTAAATTTTAACTTTCACAGTCGCAGAGTAAAGAACACCTTTCAATAAAAAGTTGAATTTTTATTCAACTTATAAGATGTTTTTATTAGATTATATAGGTATTGTATAGTAACTAAAATTCAGTAAATGTAAAGGTTTAAAAAAGAAAAGGATTAATTGTAAAATATTTTGTAAAAAATATCTTACTTTAATAAAATGAAAATTGATGTAAATCTTGGATTCTATTTCAAACTTATGAATGAAATTCTTTACAAACCTGGAATATCAAGTGTTCTTTCACTGTCAAGGTTCCAATAAAAAGGTCCTGTTGTTGAACGTATGCTGATAATGCTGCCATCGCCTCAGGTGTCGCTGGCTGTCCATTCAGTGCTCTGGTTCCACTGGAAACAACTCCACTTGGTGTTCTGAAGGTCAACGTGTTAAGAAGTGTGGTTTTTCCCGCACCTGACGATCCCATAAGTGCAAGCAGTTCTCCTGGGTATGCCGCGCCATTTACTAGCGATAAAAAAATGAATGATTAACATTTGTAAAGGTTGCATTTTTATATATTGAGTGTTTTAATAGAAAATAATATATTTGATTAATTTGTAATGATTTATGTATATGGTATTTACTTATGTAACCTTGGCCGATAGGAATGTGTTTTAAAAAAATAAAAAAGGGCGCGGAAATTCATTTGTTTTCCCGCGCTTTTGCGCAGAGATGTCGGTACCACCCTGTAAGTCACTACGAATTGTTTGTAATTTTAAAATTATGATTATAAATTATGTAACTCACTGACGTTTATAAAAGTACTGAATATAAGAATATAAGCAAGAAATATCTCGAAGTTTTATTAGGGACCCAACACATTTTGTAAAACGTACCTACCTATATTTTTCATATTTTACAAAATTACAAAATCGTTTATTTTAAATCATCAAAAGTTAAAAAAAACATTGATTCATTTAGTAATCTTATTGCACAAATATTTTGCTGTTTGTTTATTTTTTCAATCAGTTTAATTAATTATTTTTTAATTAACGTTACCAAGATTATGCAAAGTAAATTCGGACTTTATAATTTAAGTTTTACATCAAATATTATATTTTATTTATTATATTATTATATTGTCAAATACTTCAAATTTGAAGTTAAATAAATATTCATTTCAGCGCCATACTGGCATACTCTTCAAAATATTTTTATACATCCCATTTTAGGACAATGATCATAAACCGTACAGCCCACATTACATTATATATGATCAAATTTTTTTTAAACGCCTATGATAATTAAGATATTCTCTTTTACCATTAGAGATATTTACTTTAGTCATAAAAAAAACTGGATTGGTATAAGTAAAAAAACCCTCGAAAACTTACTATTTTTGAGCAGTTGCTTTCGTTGCTGAAACATGCGATCGTTGGATCCTCTCCAAAAGTTCCAGAATTTTTTATTCTTCGACCTGTCCTCTGTGGCAAAGGCGTTAATGTCAGCCCATGTATATGTGACTTTTTCAACTCCTCCGATAGCTCCATAGCCTCGATTGGGTGGAATTGCTAGTGTGACTTCACCACCACTGGTGCGAGGACTGCCATTCGGCGAACTACTCTGTAAACACAATTCAAATTAAAAATCTATCATACAGTATTTTGACTAATATAAAATTGTTATACATTAGGTTAGAATAAAATTTATTAAGTTAAAAGCATTGTTTTTCATTCTTATTATTTTTAAGTGCTTGCTTAAAAATAAATTTTATATACCAATTTATATTTTGGTTTTCGTATATTATCATTAAAGTCTACTTCCATATAATTAGATTACTTTTATTTTCGCCGCATTAGTCAAGAAGTTTAAATATCCAGGCCAACGTAAAGCCGTGACAGTCTATGTAACCAGAGTCGGACATGAGAGGGGCCGATATCGATCAATAACCGATTACTCGTGTTACATTACAAACTACCTAGTGGGAACCCACAAATATTTATTTTAGTTAGTAATTAGTTTTTATTGGTGTAGTAGTTGAAAACTAGCTTTTACCAGTTGCTTAGATGCTTCTACCAGGGGCTTAAGATGAGTGGGGTGGGCATATTAGCGTCCGGCAGTTCAGCCGGGCGCGAAGCCTAGAAACGCACAGGGAGACGGCCGACCTCGGTGGGCGTTGTGTGCCATGCGGGTTGCTCCTGGTACTCCTCTGATAGCAGAGTGGACTGTGAAGCAACCCTATGGTAGTTGTAGCAGACCTGCCGTCGGGGCATCGCAGTTGAGTGCGTGAGCGATCCTGCGACGCCCCATTAAGACGGGGGAGATTCCGTTAGGTTTTAGTGGGTAGTACTGGCTTTTCTAGCCGTTCAGCCTCAGAATTCTCAGACCTCTTGCCTAAATGCATTTCCCAACGTTACAAAATATGTATTCCTTACTTCAATCTGTATAAATATTATAAATGGGAAAGTTTGTGAGTATGTATGGATGTTTGTTACTCTTTCACACCAGAACGGCTGAATATATATATAATATACGATTCCCGAGGGATAGATTTGTTTGTTTTTCTAGAGGCGAGTCCGAGTGAAGCGAGGATGAACCGCTAGTAAAATCATAAATGAGAAAGTTGCTTAGACACGGAAAAACTGACTCAGTCCAAAAATTATATACAAATTGTAAATAAATCGACCTACGAGTAGTATCAAGGTTAATGAAGTCTATAAAATAATATATGTAAAGTTTAATTTGTTTTGAAAAGCATTTTTTTGAGTTTTGTAAACTTTATTTATTATTCTTATTTGTTGTTCGTGCTGCACTATCATATAAATAAATTGATTAAAAGTATGAATGAGTAGTTTTTTAAGAGTAGTCTATCCTACACTATAATGTCTCGTGTACACATGTCTAGTCTCAGTGTCAGTAAGATGGGCTACCGTAGCCAAATCGATCAGGACATTTTTTTAGGGCACCCAAGTGTTGGGTCCCTAATAAAACTTCGAGATATTCCTTGCAGTTATATAATTTATAATCATAATTTTCAGTACTTATTACAAAACAATTCGTAGTGATCTACAGGGTGGTACCGACATCTCTGTGCAAAAGCGCGGGAAAACAAATGAATATCCGCGCCCTTTTTTTTTATTTTTTTTAAAACACACTCCTATCGGCCAAGGTCACATAAGTAAATGCCTTATACATAAATCATTACAAATTAATCAAATATATTATTTTCTATTAAAACACTCAATATATAAAAATGCAACCTTACACAAGGAACACTATTAGGTACCTTCACATTTTAATGTTATAGGTTTTAGTTGGCTTTGAATATATAAATGCCTTCTCTTCTTTCATTTTCTGCCTAGATCAATTTAGAAAACCTAGTTACTCTTTATGAATAATCATTTTAACTACTATAAGGAGAGAGAATATACCTAGTGGTTCACAAATCAATTCTACGCTTTCCACCAGACCAGTATTGGCTCACTGCATATTGAGAAATACATAAGTCCCATAAGTAACCAAATCATAAACAAACCGGTTAACATAACATGTGTAATCCAAACATTACTTTGTAGGAAATGAACTTGTGATTCGTTACGAGGGTTTGTTGATTTAATGATTACAATATAATCGTAAGTCTCCGAGTGACCTAATTACTTACTGTACTGGTTATTGTTGGTAGCTTCTTAAATTGCTAAACTATTTGTCTATGGTACCTATCACTTTGAGCACTATTTGGTGAAATTTAATAATTTCAACAATATATAAGAAAGCAAACATAATAAGATAAAAATATACAATATGTCTCCTATTATGGAATGCCAATTGGTGTAAGTTTACTCCATGAAAAAATATGAGAAACAATCACCCAAAGGAAGTCAAATGTGAATGAACCTCGTCTACCGTACAGGTTTTTTTCTTATCACCACACAATATACCCGTTCATCGATAAAATATTAAGGGTCAAATTACAACCTATACGAAATCTTTTTGCAACACGATGGAATCGACACTAGCACGGAAATCCATAGAATGCTAAAAATTTCGTCTCATAATATTGAATAGCATAGAAACCGATCGCGAATTCGAATTCGACACATGTTTTTAAATTCTTATTCAACTTTGTAGCTTGCTCCATGATCATAAAAACTTGAAGATTGTACCTATATATTATACCTAATTGTAACGGATACAACAAAACAAAAAGAAAAAGCACGTCATGCAAGGTCTTGTACATATGCTGTATTATGTATACACTATTACCTACATATTATGTACATATATGCGATTTGGAGTCCTTATTTAGGAGGAAGAGGTCTAGTACCGGTTTTAAAAGCTTTTCATTAAGAAGTTTTGGTATAATGTTGTATAAAAGTTTAAAGCGTTTTTTGTTTTGTCACATGGGTAAGTGGTAGTTTCGAATTCGATTCCTGCATGGTAATTGGTAATGCATATATTATTACTTAAAATCTTAAGTTAAATCCCATTAATAATGATATGAAAATTGAAATATATTTCGATAATACTAACTGAAGATATCATCAAAGCATCTTATGGCAGGAAATAAACGATTGCACCGAATTGGATACGATTAAATGAATTGGTTCGACATAGACTAGAAACGATTTCACTCCTAGACCAATAGGTACATACAAATATACGTCTAGAACTTAAACTATGATTAGTTCAGTTCGATAGAGATCAATAATGTCTTCTATAAAAGGCCAAGATTTAAAGGCTTCCTGTGAAAAATTCGAAGGTTTTCATATGAAGCCATATTTAATAAAATGACTTCATGAAGTCAAAGGTACGAGCTATGAAAATGATAAAAATAGAAGTAATAAGAGGGCTAACCTATGTCTATACATATAATAAAATTGTAACTAAGTCGAATCTGTACATTAAATATATTTTGGAAAATCTTATTGAAATAGACATTATTATCGATACAGAGGCCGAACTACTGGAGGGATTTTGATGAAATTTGGTATGATAATAGCTGGTCATCCGGGTCAACACATAGGATACTTTTTACAGCGGGAAAATATCTCATCTCTGAGAAATCGATACTAAACATTAAAACGTAAGTAGGGACGAACCCGAGCGAAGCGAGGGTGACTCGCTAGTATATAATATAGTTCCGTCCCGTAATTCCGTAAGGGACATTGTTTCTATACCAATTGAATTTGCTGTTGCTCTTACTTATTTAGGTTCAAGGCAACAGCAAATTCAATTGGAAGAATAATTTGTTTTGTTTGTAATTGGAGAAATAATTTAATAATGTGCAGTATTACGAGTATGTAAAGTAACTATTATTTGATATACAATATATATCGGTACTTGATAAAAAAGTCGATTATTTTTTTACTATCAAAGTAAATTAACAGCCATTAGGTGCGTATCTCTGGTAATGATTAAAAATTAAAATTAAATTAAATTTTAATATGTACTCATTACATAATATTTCCTAAAAATATTTACTATAATTTCTAATAAATTTGATGGCACAATAAAACAGAGGTGATTCAAACTAGCGGAACGAGATCGTTAAGAACTTGTTTTTATTTTTTATATGTACTTGAGCCACTGACTTAGGCGATGGACCTCAAATATTTAGCCTTGTAGAATAGTGGCGTCTGTGCTTGCCCTCACGGTTAGATAATAATATTATGTTAGATACTCGCTAGCGAGCGCGTTAAATATACATACATAGATATGTATGGTAATCTTACGAAGTGGTTGAGAATGAGAATACGTTTTATTAATTTTATTTCTCATTATAATATAGCCATAAATAATATAAAATCATTATCATTTTAAGCAGTATTAAAGGAAAACAATATATATGGAGCGAAAATTTACGATAAAAAAATTGTAGACTTTAAAGACTAAGTATAGAGTGTAGAGACGATAAAATATAATCGAAAGTTATATTATGTAAAAATTAAAACTTCTTTATCATTTAATCCTAATCGATCCTTATCCGTGTAGATAGATAGGTACTTAAATTCCTGTATGTGAAGAAATTTTAAAAACAATCTTGTAATACTTGCTATAATTTATTTATACTATTATTATAAAGAGGAAAGATTTTTTTGTTTGTTTCTACTGAAAAAGCTCCGAAACTACTGGACCGATTTAGATGAAATTTGGTTAGAAGATAGTTTGGAACCCTGCAAAGGACATAAGATAGGAGTTTGTGTCCGGGAAATTATCCCTTAAGCGAAAGAAAATGGGGATGAAAGTTTGTATGGAGAATCAACCTAGGGAGGAACCTGCGCGAAGTGAGGGTGACTCGCTAGTAATTTATATTTTTGATGCTTAATTTGTGTAGGTACACACCGAAGGTTTACACAGGTGTAAAGACACCTTGGGTTCCGTAGCATGAACATGAACGTAGTTTTCGGATTTTTTCCTTTACTTGTGCTATTTGATATTACTTTTTTGCCAAATTTGATTCTAAATTAACGGGAAATACCTATAGGTTCTTGACAGACAAACAGACGGACAACGAAGTGAAGTGGAAGGGCTCCTTTTTTTCGAGATATGGAACCCTAAAAAATATTTTAATCTCATAATAAGCTCTTTTACATCGTATGTCACATGAGGACATTTATAAAACATTTTTTCTAATTTTAGTTTGACTCTCAAATTATATTACTTAACACTTAATATTCTTTAACTCCTCTTCTTCTTTTAAGTCCAGTAGTTCCAAAGAACATAAGCTGTATACCTAAAGGCAGTATGAATAATAGTCGAACAAACATACAACGTGATAATTATATTACGTACTAGTTCGTACTTTCATCTGATATATAGAATCTTAAAATTCGAAAGGCCACTAATACGAGATACATTAAAAGTTCAAGATAGTCTCTAGTCCTTGAAACTGATATTAGGTATATATATTTTACCAACTTTGTAATATTAATATTTAAGACACAAACCGTTCCCATGAAACTCATTATCCATTTAAATGTATACAGAGGAATATAGCATTAACATTAAATATTAAATATATAAAGTTGATCACGTTATAATAAACTTCCACAAGTATGTTATTAGACACGTTAAATTTTAAAATAACATCCATACTTATATTATAAATGTGAAAGTGTGTGTGTTTGTTTGTCCTTCTTTCACGTCGACGAAAAGACGGATTGGCATGATTTTTTTTGTATAGATAAATGGAGGGCTGGAGAATGACATAGGCTACTTTTTACCGCGGGAGATTACCTAATTCCCACAGGAAAACACGTTATAAGACAATCCAAAAAAATATTTATGATTAGAATTACTTGAAACTTGGTATTAATGCTCTTCAAGAAAATGAAATAAATACATGTTTTAGTATTTTTTGAAATTCATTCTATAAGGGGGTAAAAGAGGGGATGAAGGTTTGTATGAAACTACCTTTTAAGATATTTTTTGTAGTTTTAGGGCGAGCGAAGCCGCGGGTTCTGCTAGTATAGTATAAATTAAATCTATTAACGTAAAATGGTGTTATCTAAAGCGTAACTATTATTACGTGCTTATGAAAAATAAATAGGAAAAAAATCAAATAGAAAAATAATACAAAATAATAAATCTAAATTCAAGAAACTGTTAAACGAATATTTTTGGGATGTATTTAGGTGGAGGTACATTGAGACCTTGTAGAACGCTAAAGGTTCTAGTAATGTCAATAATGTAGAGAGCCCAATACCAGTTACAATTATATAAATTATACCTAAATCTATACTAATATTATAAAGAGGCAGATTTTGTTAGTTTGTTTTATGCTAATTATAGGAAAATTCTTTTTGCATTAGATAGCCCGTTTATTGAGGAAGGCTATGTGAATGTCATATAATATATAGCCTATCTATTCCATACTAACCGTTAAAACGTACCCAGGGACGAACACGAACGAAGCGAGATTGAGTCGCTAGTATATTGTATAGGTATATTATAATAAGACCTATCATATAATATTGAAGATGTAACAATAAAAATATTATTTATGCGTTCAATAGAAATATTGTGGCACGGCATATATTTGTAAAGTAGGTATGTATAATCGAATTAAATGATTTTAAAATTCTGAATTGTTAATTATCTAAAACGTGGTGGAAACTGGATCCATTTAAATATTTCTGTGACCCATCCGACGCAGCGTTAAATGAAATTCTTGTATTTTAAAATCCGAACGAGATTATGCTATTAAAGATAAAGTACATTGAAGAGAAAGATTTAAGTGAGCGTTTGAAAAAATATAATACATATGGAAATTAAAAAAGAGATCAATATTCAACCGGTTTAAACTTTTGCTGAAACACACAATGGCTACGTTCCGTAACATTCCATCCGAGTTGAAAAAGCTTATATGAATATATTATTACAACTTATTTGATGCTGGCTTAACATCTATCTATCATTTAAGATATTCGTTTAGCAAAGCTCAAATACAAATACGTTTATATATAAAAATAAATATCGGATTGTAAAATTATATATTCGACATAGATGTGTAAGATTATATTTTTTATTGCACCTTGATTGTGTAATTAATTTAATACATTTTTTTAATACTTAAGTTTTTTTTAAATATATATTATTTAAGTGCTTACTGTCGGAGAATTATTGTAAGTCACACGCTGGTTGTCGACAGACGAAGAAATTAGCGGTTCATGTTCCTCAGCTCCGGCGGTCATTTTGGATAACTTGGAATTTTCAAATAAACAATAATAATTTTTCAAAATATCACAGTCATGTTCAACACTGTTATTAAAAAAAAAATCACACACGTGTTTATGGTTTTCGAGGGTTTGGCGGGAAATGTGACAGTGCGTGCTGCGCCGCGTAAGTGATGCGTTACGCGAGACGGTACGCCCGGAACTGTGCTCGTAGTGTTCTCACCAAACATTACAATCGACGCAATCGACACTGCTCGCTACAATTCCTTAATTCGAATGAAAAATACCACCTTAATTTCAACATTCCATGTGTTTTTTGTTATTAGATAAAAGATAAGAACAAGTAGAGCAGCTGCTACGAAACTTAATAATTTGACAAAATGTCTGTTTTTTAATTGCAACATAAGTAACACATCAACATATAACGTAAGTCATTATATTATTTTATGGCTTTTTAAGGTTTTATCATGGACTTTAGCTTTCGTCTTGCGCATTATTATTATAATACCAATGTTTGATGTAATAAACACAAATTAAAGTCAAAAAATATATGTATGTAAATGTTTATTCAAAAAAATCATATTTGAGATAGCAAATAATTATTCGGTAAATTATTTATACAATATTTAAATGAATATCCTTTATTTCTTCCGATACTCGTATGATTACAAATGACACATGACAAAGGAACTATTGTATATAGACTGAGATGTTTTATGAGTCTTAATATTAAAATGCCTTAGCAATATGGCTAACATATTCATTCATAAAAATACACCAGATTATATACGTTAACAAGAAATAATAAATATTTAATTACAACCAAATTAAAAAATACACCATGTTGGAACTTACAGGAAGTTCCGTTAGACACAGAGTCTTTCATTTATATTCTGGTGTATATATAAAATTAATTTTACATTACGCAAGACATACACATTCAATAATATTTGGTGAATATTCTTACAAAGCTGGATAGTCAATTAGTTTAACGGTATTCACACCACGATACAATACACTGTAGTAGGTAAAAATTAATCGACTAAGTATGTTCGTATGTGTATAACATGAATTGCAATAACCATAACGCAATTAAAAAGCTTAAACGATAACAATTTTCGAAAATATGATTTAAAAAGTATTTAACTTTTCTGAGATCGCTCACAATGTTATATCTAGGTTACAACAAGCGCTCGTTTGCTTCATGTAATATAAATAAGACAGTATTTACATTGCACAAACGGAGTTCGTATACTTAAAAATAATTTTTCGGGTATTTAGCACTGTATAGGAAGAATCGAGTTACTATATACCAAACATAAAGTTTACGGAACATTTAATTCTTACATTTTTAGATTCTGATATTACATATTTGACTGCAAAAAGATACCAGATGTGGCGGCGTTATTATTGAAGTATTTTTTATCTAGTATTTGATATTGACTAGTTAAAACTTCATAGTAGTCCATTTAAAAAAAGCCAAGCATGGTAATTAATGTTAATTACACAACGCTTTTGGCATTTGTAATGATAGTAAACTGGCTTTGAAGTTTATTATAATCCATTTCTCTCTCCCCTCCCTTTCTCTATTAAACGGTATTTAACAAGCAAAATACATAATTACTTAAGAACGACAAAAAAATGTATTTCATTGTGTACCTATATCTCCATTGCTTTCTTTAATTTTAACACTTCATCTATAAGTACGCAAAAGACGAGACGCATTGTAATTCCATTTTAGTTCATGTAAAGACATCATTTATATAAATATTTAGATACACTGACACAACAAATATTTGCCTAGTTTCATATGTGACTGATAAGAATAACTACATGATGCATTGTTCCCATATTAGGCTGTAAATATAAAGAAATCTTTATATTATTATTTAAACGATGGATAGAAATATAATTTAAATTCTTTATACGATTAATTAAAAAAATCAATTCAATGGTCAATTCTTATGTACAATGGCTTCTAGGAGTGCCATTTGAGTATAATTTATTTCACCAATATCGCATAGAATGGAGAAGACACGTTATATATAGAATGACCGGTATAAAATATAAAAAAAAAAACACTAAATCTGATTACATTTAAACGAAAATGACAAAAGGTAAGAGATTGTTACGATATAGCAGTTGCTTTGTTAAATATCATCCATCGAATGCGTCCTAGTCTTTATCTGAACCTATAGCAAAACACTATCAATGACTAAGTTTCTATGCTGAATAATTAGTCATTTAAAAACGTATGTAGATTTTTTTGTATATAATTTACTCCACCTATGTATATGCGTCCGTGATAAGTCCTTATATGTATATGACGTGACCATCGCTCAAATCACTTGGAATTGAAAACGAAATCATTCAATTCTTTTATTTCGTGGCTTCTAGGAGTACCAGTTAGGCATAATTTACTTAGCCAATGTCACGTAGAAGGAAACGAAATACTTGGTAATTTAACCCTAAGGGATTACAAAGTGAATGTCAAAGTTGTCTAAGTAACTACCCTTCTTACTTTTACGAAGTTTTATGTAATAACGTATTATCGTGTTTTTATTAAAAGCTAGATCATTCGCGGTTTAGTATGAAAATGTTAAACAATAAACAACTTAAGAATTTACTATATCCAATCCAAGATATAAGCTACTAGCGATTCACCCTCGCTTCGCTCGGGTACGTCCCTAGCTTAATTCCCCATATAAACTTTCATCCCCTTAAGGAAATATTTCCGAGATAAAAAGTATCCTATATCCTTTCCAGGGTCGCAAACTATCTTCTTACCAAATTTCATCTAAATCAGTTCAGTAGAACCAGAGATTACCCCCTACAACGTCAAAAACTCCAAACTTTACCTTTTTATAATATTCATATAGATATAAATTATAAACCTGTTGGGCCGTAACAATACGATAAATTAAAAACGCGCTGACAAATCGCCATTATAAGTCTGGTTCGTTATACTTATACCACGTACATATGTAAAGAAAAGTAGCGAATTTGATACAATTATGTCAGACAAACCACAACCCTCTAGAATGACTTATGTTCTCGTATATATACGTAACCGCATATAATATTAACTAAATACGTATGGTATAACATTGGCATACTGCTAGTATAGATAATAGTCATTTAAATTATATATGAATAATTTATTATTTTGTTATTTTCAAGGGCTTTCACAAAAAAGTAATTAAATTCAATTCTTTTATTTCGTGGCTTCTACGAGTAGCACACAAAAAAGTAAATAATAACAATAATAATATATTCATCGATAAAGAAAACTTTAACATCGGAATTCAATTATCCCTTTTTTGGCCGAAAACCAGTTTGCCTTGCACTAACACCTTAATTTTACAAACAACGAATTTTGAAGTGAAACGATAACTAACCCAACATAATATAGGATAATAGCATAGAATTTCTCTATATTTTTTAAATATATTTTTGTTGCGTATAGTTTTGGTACAAAGAAATTAGAAACTGGCATGTCATTAAAAATTAAAAGTCCCGAAAATAAAAGTAGCGCGACATTTTTGGGCTTATTTTTCTTGGTTTTTATTATTATTAAAATATTTTGTTCATATCTTGTATTTTTTCAAATATTCATTTCAAAATTTTAATAAATTTACTTATATGCATTTAATAAAAAGAAAAAAATTGCGTGAATGTATCCTAAAACATGTGTCATTTTGACAAAGGGCTAATTATGTATGCAGTAAAAGAAAACGAATATAAAAAGGTAGATATAGTAAAATCTTTAACAAGAAAAAGAATATTATTTTGAAAAAAAAATCAAAGACCAAATAAAGATCAACTTGCAATAAGCTGCGAAAACATCAAATTTACACTTAAAAACTTAGTTATTTAAAAGAATAAAAGCTCTTGATATTTTAATTAAATCATTAAGACAAAAGTAGTACATTACAGTTATCTTAAACAGAGAAAGTATTAAAAACTTAAAAGTTTAGATGTAAAAAGCCTCTCACCTATCATACATTTAACGATGAAGATACGGTTATCTGAATTATAACGTATTTATTTAATATTTTTACGCTGTAACAGTTCAAGAGATTTAGGTGAAATTATACATTTATGAAATGATATTAAACTTTATTCAAATAGACTTAAGCACTTTTGAATCGTCAATTTAAAGAGCGTCAGTGCAGTCTGTCCGTGAGGAAGCTTCTACCGCGTCGGCTCGAACAACAGTTCTGCTGAGAAGAGCTGGCGAGAAACTCAACAGTTGTTCTTTTAAATATCGAAGTTACATTTTATTTATTTTATTATATATATATATATATTATAGATATCCCGCATATCAGTCAATATTTCTCAATTCCACACATTTCCATCAACATGAAACTCTTAAACAGAGTAAATATGCTTTGCTCCATAAAATATTTTTAATTTTATATTTAAATTGTTGAAAAGATAAATCTGGGACAGTTTGTGGAATCTTCTATACATATAATAAAATTGTAACTAAGTCGAATCTGTACATAAAATATTTTTTGGAAAATCTAATTGAAATGGACATTATTATCGATACAGAGTCCGAATCTATAGTTTTTAGAATTTTTGTCTGTCTGTCTGTCTGTTAACGCATCACGAGAAAACAACTGGACAGATTTTGATGAAATTTGGTATGATGATAGCTGGTTATCCGGGTCAACATATACGATACTTTTTGCCGCGGGAAAATATCTCATTTCTGAGAAAAAATACAAAAACTGCAATTTAAGAGTATACTAATACAAAAAACCTAAGAATTTGGTTTTTGGTTATCTGAACGCGGGCGGAGTCGCGGGCAATACTAGTAATAAAATAAAAATAAAGATTAAATGCCTGTTTCCAATACCAACACAACAAGCGAGTAACTGTAAACATTGTTATTGTTATAAATTATGTGACATTTACCTTATTTTTTAATTTCTTTTAAGAATTCTCGATATTTCGGCACATTATATTTACGTCATAAAAATAATGTCTTTGACCATGAAAGTTTAAAAAGTAACTGTAAAAAATAATTTAACCTCGACAGCCATTAATGTTACACATACATAATATCATAAGAACTCACTCTAGACTCATTTGACGATAACACCACCACATCTGTTAAGACATCCTTCACTTACTCTTCTTTTATTTATTTCGCATATAATTTCTCCGTAATCGATTATAAATCTAGCTATCAACTAATCGTAAAAGTGAACAACGGTACTGTAGTACACGACACCATGAGGTAGCCTGAAGTTCTAAAAAAAAAAAAAATAAAAAAAAAAATAATAATATGCTGGGACTGCTATAATACTGCTACAGCTATGATAACTAATCCATACAGACCATGGTTTTAAAAAGCTATTAAATACGCGACTTATTCTATTTGCAGATGAGAGCATTGTCCTAAATAACATGCTAAAGAGTATCCTTCGACGAACGACTGTCTGACGATCAAAATTAATAATGTCTTTTAATTTTCCGCCTATCTGAGATAGATATTTGACATTACTATTAAAGGTAGAGTTCATATCAAATTTCAATCTCTAATACCCGTTAAATAATTGAAAGATAAATTATAAATTTTAGTCACAAAACATAAATCGATTAATTGATAAACGAATGCAGATTTAAATCGATTCCATTCAACCAATAAATCGATATCGTGATTGACGTTCGTTCTATGATGGGTACGTGATGACGCAACAATGACAGAGTTCGACGGCGACGGTCTCAACATCACATTCCTTTAATTTACAACACGAACTCGTCGTATAGACATCTAAAGAGCTCGACCCTCAAAATTAATTCACATCTTATTTAAAAAAAAAAAACAATTTCGACAAATCGCAAACCGTACCATAGCCTATTCCTTACCTCTGCACTAAATAATCAGTCTTTCTAAAACCTCACTTCCAAACTCGTACTGGTTTGCCTTAAAACGTGATGTTTTTTTTTTCGAATTAAATAATAATTTTGAAATTATAATGTCGATTAATGAAATCATAATATTATATATAACTTACTTTTCGAACGCAACGCGTCTATCACAGCCAAAATTACCGTCGCTCGTGAAATATTCCTTATACAAACTAACACCTCCATAACCACAGTATTATTTAATATTTATCATTTCACTAAATGTTACTAGTAAATAATTTTGCTGAATAACATGATACATAGTTTTATAATTTTTAATTGCTACACTATAGAGCTGTACTAACCTCCGAATATATTTAATTATATTTGAAATGCCAAATTCGAATAAGTAGCAATAGCAGAATATAAACACTATTATATAGATACAAATTAATCGATTATATATTATATTGATAAATATCGATTATTTAATACAACAATATGATGTTACTTCACTAATTTTGTTCATACTAAGCGATACAAGTTAGGCTAAGACTTGTACTAAGTATTACACAGCATATAACAAGTGAGGAATTTTAGAAAATAAATTTCGGTTTCTATTTCAAATCTTGAGAAATTTAAAACAATAATCAAAGAACATTATCCTTAATAATATTAATAATAATTTCCAAGTAAAAGAAAAAAGTTAACAGAAATCCTGTACGAAGCCTAACATATACATATTTCCTATATTACTATATGCTAGAAAATTCGGTAACATTGGATCATAATCAATAATATTTGAATTATTTAGCCATAGATTAACTTTTCTATCATAAAACAAGCCAAATGCTTTGTAATAATAAGCCTTACATATTACTATACAGTTATGTTCAAATAAGTAGAGTATCTTACATATTTCTTGGAATCATCTAGAATATCAAGAAATCCTTATGTTAGTTCGACTCATTTGAATACAACTATAATTTAGATTGCATTGTATTTATTCACAATTTCTATTAACTATTATTATGAAATAATTATGACCATTATTATAATGTAATAAAGATCAATTTCAAATTTAAATTTGTTTAAGGTGCTTTCAAAACTCAGCTGTTATACCTGAAAAGCACATCTTGTAAGTAGTTATTAAAAAAATATATTTGAAATTGAATCCTATGCAAATTAGATTAAAAAAAACTCAGTATAAGCATAAATATAACCATACAGTTAAATGTAGACATATTTATATAATTAGTACATAAATGTTTGACATTTATGTTTTTAATTAGTGAAGAAATAAAAATAATATATAAAACATGGAACTTCTTTATAAGTTAAATTTAATAGCTTTTGATATTAAAAAGCGGCAAATACTGAGCTTTTTTCAGTATGCATCCCTAATTTTTCATAGTTGGTGATGAACTCGGTATGTATTGACTAGGAATAAACTCTTATATTGCAAAATTTGAGCTGTAGGTCCATACCATACTGAAGACTACAGGCAAGGATTAATCTTATATAGGTCTCCAACAGAAGAAGTTTATTCTATTAGGTTAGATTAAAAAATGGCAGTTAAAAAATGCAACAGACAACACAAAAGTGACTTAACTTTTAAATAATTAACCTATTATAGACAAATATCATATGTATATTTACACATTATATGTACATTTGTTACATTAGCAGAGAAATTGAAATGCAAATATTACATTTATAACACAATCTATGAGGAATGTGCGAAATTACATATTAGTAATAATATCATTTCTATAGAAAAAAATGGATGTTTTATATTATTTTAAAAAACATAAGTTAGGTCAGTTTTGCGAAGACTGTTGAGATCCATATAGAAAAAAAAATTAAAAACCATGGATGTAGCCATAGCGTTTATATTTCATTGTAAGTATTGTTTTTTAAAAAAAGACTGTCTTTAGTCTTTAGATAGAAAATTAATTTTATTGTAATTTAACTACTTTCTGATTTCATATTCTTTGTGTTCAACAATTTGAATTAAATAATTTCATTTTATTTTCTCACAAAATTGAATCTAATCAGAAATAATAAACTGTAGATCAGTTATAACACTGGCAGAGGGCTTAAAAATTTAACTTTTGCATTTCAAAAGCACATCTAACATATAGTTATAAATTTACTTAACTTGGAAATATACACCTTAAACAAACCATAATACTTTCTTAGATTTACGCGAATGTTTGACATTTTTAAATAAAACTATCTTTTCGGATTATTTCGCGGATTTATTTTGATTTTTGGTTCCCGACGTTTCGAATGCTTTACAGCATCCATGGTCACAGGAGAGACTGAGGTGTTACATGTCTTAAAGATATAGTTGTTACAGACAGCCTACCCACAATTAACAAAATGAAAATTGCACCAATTACATTACAATATTTTTAACTTTAAACATTTTTTATAATTTTAATTATAATTGAATATGGAAAATTATTTATTTAATTTTTGCTATTAATTTTATAATTATTACAATTTTAAAAATATTAATTAGTAATCTATATTTAGTGTTGCCATTATTATATTTATAACCATAAATAAAAAATATAAAAATATAGTATTAATTATTAAAGCCATATAATTGTTCTATGTGTAATTTAAAAAGTTAAAATTAATTACGGATAATCATTTTAATTTAGTTTGCTATTATTTAAAAACAACACTATTAATATATACTTTTACAAATGAAAAATATTAATCTGATAAGCTGTCATTTTGATCTACACAGTATGAACTTACTACATCTGCCTGTCTGTTATGTTTATATTTATTATTTGATTTTATTATATTAATAACAGGATCCCATGACGATGGTAGTACCCAGCCATCTTCCCTATTGAAATTTGGATGTTTTTTAATTTCTATGGCTTCTCGAATCATTCTAGGGCGATATCGGTTTTCTACAACATCTGCTGTCTGCAAACATAGCCAGGACCGCCCAAGCCATTATATTCGTTTCGATAGACCTCAAATCCTGGCGAAAGAAAACCGATATCGCCCTAGAATGATTCGAGAAGCCATAGAAATTAAAAAACATCCAAATTTCAATAGGGAAGATGGCTGGGTACTACCATCGTCATGGGATCCTGTTATTAATATAATAAAATCAAATAATAAATATAAACATAACAGACAGGCAGATGTAGTAAGTTCATACTGTGTAGATCAAAATGACAGCTTATCAGATTAATATTTTTCATTTGTAAAAGTATATATTAATAGTGTTGTTTTTAAATAATAGCAAACTAAATTAAAATGATTATCCGTAATTAATTTTAACTTTTTAAATTACACATAGAACAATTATATGGCTTTAATAATTAATACTATATTTTTATATTTTTTATTTATGGTTATAAATATAATAATGGCAACACTAAATATAGATTACTAATTAATATTTTTAAAATTGTAATAATTATAAAATTAATAGCAAAAATTAAATAAATAATTTTCCATATTCAATTATAATTAAAATTATAAAAAATGTTTAAAGTTAAAAATATTGTAATGTAATTGGTGCAATTTTCATTTTGTTAATTGTGGGTAGGCTGTCTGTAACAACTATATCTTTAAGACATGTAACACCTCAGTCTCTCCCGTGACCATGGATGCTGTAAAGCATTCGAAACGTCGGGAACCAAAAATCAAAATAAATCCGCGAAATAATCCGAAAAGATAGTTTTATTTAAAAATGTTAAACAAACCATCATAACGTTCACTATTGCTCAACATCTTGACACACCGGCAATAACTCACTATAGTTAGTAGTAACACTTTCACTATCAATCGCGTCTGTTCGTAGCCTAAGCACTATGGATAAGGGTCACTTCGCACTAGCGTTCGCGGATAAGGGCGCATACACATTACAGTGTTTGCGGGGTGTGTTTCGACGGCTGCCTCTTGAGCCGTCGACTGGGTCACTGTCAGTTGTTCTTGTCGAAGTTGTGAAGCGCCCAGTTGAAGGATGCGGTCCAGGAGTTCTTCACCGCCTCTATGAACTTTTGGCGAAAGTGTTCAAGCGCTTTCTCTTCGGATAGATCCATTACCTTGAGAAAATAATGCAAATATTTAGAAGAAACAATAAAAAATGATTTTTATTAAATTTTAAGAATATACACACAAAGGCGTGTATAAAATATGCATGTGCTTCTCATTTCTCAACACCTTTTTTCTTATTTGTCTAACTAAAAAAACAAAACAATGTGGAGATATAGTATATAATGTTTTATTGTTCATACTTCCCAATTCTCAAAAATAAATATAAATAAATATTTTTATCACAATTTTTTTAAGCTTTTATTTTTTTTGTATCTTCTTATAACTCACCAATGTTTCTCTAAGGTATTGCAGGTCCTTTTCCGAACTAAGCTCAGGCAGGCCTGTTGAGATCATCATCGAGAACAAGGACAGGATCAGGTGACCATGCTTGCGAAGAATTTTAAAGGCCTAGTGAAAAATATAAATAAAAATATTTTAATATAACATGAAAATAAATGCACTATTCCTCTTCAAATTTTATTAAAAACGTTAAAATTTAATTCATTGTCAAATTTATAATATAAGTTTTAATTTAAAATATTTACAACAAGCTAAGTAAATAAAAGATTATAAAAAAATATACAAAATAATATCCATAAAACCAACCATTGTTTTTAACAAATACCCTCTTTTATTATTTTTTAGTAATGAAATAACAATTTTATCATGTTAAGTGCAATAACAATATAATATAGAACTTACAGTTTCACAAAGGTCTCTGAATATCTTGAAGTCCAACTGTTCGTTGACACCCCCTCGTTGGCCCTTGTTTATGACATGTATGAAGTCGTGCGTCAACACGAAGGGGACGCGCTCGCGCTTGAACCCGTACTTCTGCTTGAAATGGCCTAGGAAATGGCCAAAGTCTATGTGGAAGAGCTGGAAAAAATATGGGTTTTTTACTATACAGTTGTACGTTTGTTTTGGTGGTAATAACATATTCAGTTCATTCGTGACAAAGACAGGCGTAGACTTATTATGTATTATTCGAGTACTTAAAACTACCTATAGTCCATTCGCGTTAAGAAAATAGTGAGTCATCAAGTGCAATGCAGGTAAATGTGTATACAAAGCAGGAGTTAAAATTCAATTCAAATTCAATATTTCAAAAGATTAAGTTTAATGGATAAAAATCAACTTAATTATATTTGAGATGATAATGACTATTTAAAAAATAAAATCATTAATAATATATTCAAGTCTGCATTCATAATATATTCATATAATATATTCAGGTCATTGTGAACTTGACTTTTATAATTTTAAGCAACCTAATTGGTCGGGGGGCGTGGCTAGGGCGGTGGACACCGATGACTCACTATTTTCTTAACGCGAATGTACTATACTGACTCACCCTCGCTCCATTCGGGTTCATCCCTACTTACGTTTTAACGTTCAGTATAGATTTCTCAGAGATGAGATATTTTTCCGAAGTAAAAAGTTCCTATATGTTAACCCGGATATTTATATGCATCAAGATATGATACCAAATTATATCAAAATCTGTCCAGTTGTTTTTTCGTGATGCGATCACAGACAGACAGACAAAAATTCTAAATACTATAGATTCGCCCTCTGTAGCGATAGTAGTCTATTTCAATAAGATTTTCCAAAAAATATTTAATGTTCGGCTTAGTCACAATTTTATTATATGTATGTATAGATATAAAATGTCAGACTGTGTGATGAGCTGCAAACTATAATGTTACTTACATATTATAATGGTCACAATCAACTGTTTTTTGAAATTTAGATACTTTATAAGTAACACAATGAAGTACCTACATTTTAAATATATAATTCTAAATATCTTTATATTAACCGCCATCCCAAATATTCAAACAAATATAATTTAGATTAAAATTTACTAAGAGAAATTTATCACTTGTTATTTTTTTATTTTGAATTTTTTTTTTTTGGATTACTTTGGGTTAAAAATACATTAAATTATTATTAGTAATACGGCGGTCCTGACTATGTTTGCAGACAGCAGATGTTGTATTGCGACGGTGCTTCACATCAGCTACGTGTTCTTTGACCCGGGTTCTAATGGATCTCTTTGTTTGTCCGATGTAAGAGAGTCCACAATCACAATCAAGCTTGTAAACTCCTGCATCTTGTAGAGGTATTAATTGTGGGTAGGCTGTCTGTAACAACTATATAATACCTTAGAGACATCTAACACCTCAGTCTCTCCCGTGACCATGATTGCTGTAAAGCATTCGAAACGTCGGGAGCCAAAAATCAAAATAAATTCGCGGAAAAATCCGAAAAGATAGTTTTATTTAAAATTTTCACATCTTGCCAAATTCTCGCATGTGCGCAGGTGCGAGACCCCCGGATTTAAACCCGCTTCACTCGGTTTCCCAAAACGAGTGCGTTACCACTGGGCTGCCACAAGGAAGGCAGTTAATTCATTAATTCATTCGTGCTCATCACACAAATGAATGCCTCCAGCGGACTCGAACCAGCGACTGCTGGCATAGCAAGTAGCATCACTACAAACTGAGCCAAACGTGTCGTCCGACGTCCGATAAATATAGCAAAAGCCACAATTCTCTCACCTGGCCACTCTTCTTGACCATGATGTTGTCCGGATGCCGGTCGGCGATGCCCAGCACGTAGGTGGCCACGCAGTAGCCGGCGCAGCTCATCGTGAACTCCTCCACCGCCTTGTTGAAAGACTTGTCTGTAGGGTTCTGTTTCCGGAGCCATTCTGTGTTTAGATAAAGAAAAGTAAATGTTATCTATTTATATATAGTGTTACCCAAATGAGTGATTTACATCGTTTTGGGATACCAGCTTTATCTATTCTGAATTTCACTCAAACCAGCAAAACCATTATAATTATATAACAAATGTACTCAAAATTGTAAAGTAATAAATGCGTATGTTACTTCAACAATAAAAACTTCACTAATAGTTGTTACATTAGAAAAGAAGTCTTTCTTAGATTTACGCGAATATTTGACATTTTAAATATAACTATCTTTTCGGATTTTGTCGCGGATTAATTTGGATTTTTGTTTCCCGACGTTTCGAATGCTTTACAGCATCCATGGTTACGGGAGAGACTGAGGTGTTACATGTCTTGAATGTATAGTTGTTACAGACAGCCTACCCACAATTAACAAAATGAAAATTGCACCAATTACATTACAATATTTTTTAACTTTAAACATTTTTATAATTTTAATTATAATTGAATATGGAAAATTATTTATTTAATTTTGCTATTATTTTTATAATTATTACAATTTTAAAATATTAATTAGTAATCTATATTTAGTGTTGCCATTATTATATTTATAACCATAAAGAAAAATATAAAATGTAGTATTAATTATTAAAGCCATATAATTGTTCTATGTGTAATTTAAAAAGTTAAAATTAATTAAGGATAATAATTTTAATTTAGTTTGCTATTATTTAAAAACAACTTACTAAGCAACACTATTAATATATACTTTTACAAATGAAAAATGAAAAATATTAGTCTGATAAGCTGTCATTTTGATCTACACAGTATGAACTTACTACATCTGCCTGTCTGTTATGTTTATATTTATTATTTGATTTTCTTATATTAATAACAGGATCCCATGACGATGGTAGTACCCAGCCATCTTCCCTATTGAAATTAGGATGTTTTTTAATTTCTATGGCTTCTCGAATCATTCTAGGGCGATATCGGTTTTCTTTCGCCAGGATTTGAGGTCTATCGAAGCGAATATAATGGCTTGGGCGGTCCTGACTATGTTTGCAGACAGCAGATGTTGTATTGCGACGGTGCTTCACATCAGCTATGTGTTCTTTGACCCGGGTTCTAATGGATCTCTTTGTTTGTCCGATGTAAGAGAGCCCACAATCATAATCAAGCTTGTAAACTCCTGCATCTTGTAGAGGGATGTGGCACTTGACAGGTGGTAGAAACTGACTAATTTTCTTTGGCGGCTTGAAGTAAGTTTTAATTGAAGCTCGCTTTAGAATGTAGCCAATCTTGTCAGTGACGCCTCTCATGTAAGGTAGGACTGCAGGGACGCGCTCGACTGTGGCTGGTTTCACTCGGTCCCTGTGACGTAGGCGCGGCACTTGCAGCTTGTTGTCTCGCAGAACTTGCTTGACATGTTGCAGCTCTCCGGCCAGGTGTTGCTCGTCACAGATCCCGCGTGCCCATGGATCCCGTGACCATGGATGCTGTAAAGCATTCGAAACGTCGGGAAACAAAAATCCAAATAAATCCGCGACAAAATCCGAAAAGATAGTTTTATTTAGAAAAGAAGTCATTAGAACTGCCGACAGAAGTGAAAACTTAAAACTATAAAACAAACAGTTGTTATTTTTGGACATTCAAATCCATTGTTTGATCGCAAATTTAATTTTTTTAATTAAAACTGTTTACATTTATCTAGTTTTGGCATCTATCGGCACTTTGAGTGTTAGCGTTGACACGTCACGTGACCATGTCGATGACGACTTACATGAATTTACTCCCCATCCAAACCTGCCTACAGAAGTTTTCACTTCAAAAAAAAACAAACAGATACTGAAAGATAAATTTAAAAAAGTACCATTCTTATGTGGTTTACTTAACTAAATAATAAATAATGACTCACGAAACAAATTAGCCTTGGATATAGTAGACGCGGCATTAAAAAGCGCGCTTTGCTTCTGAATATTGGCCACCGTTTCCGCCTCGTCCACTACTTCGATCATTCCCACTTCGTACTCCATCGAAATACAGTTGTATGGGTTCAATCTGAAAAGATTTTAAAATTAATGTATGAATATATTAAAACTTTTTAATTTATGAACTGATTGAAATAAAACAAACACTAGCTGAACTAAGTGAAGCTTAACATTTAGTTTTTGTGTTATTAACGAATCTGTTAAGCCATTTCCGAGATTAGTGCGCACAAACGCACAGACAAACAGACCAAAATTCTAAAAATAGTAGTTTTGGGTTCGATTGCGTTAAAAAAGACCTAGTGACCCCAATAATAGTTTTTATTAAATATCTTCCATGTACACACAGCAATCATTAACACTTATATGTATAGATACGGGCAAAGCACTAGCTAGTAAGTAATAAATAAATGCTAAAATATATTTACCTAAAATCGTATCCCGCGTTTTTCCACAGCCTGTCCATGATCCTGAGCATTTGCAACGTGAACATGTCCTGACGCAGATCGTCACCGATTTTCAATATAATACGTATATTCGATCCCGTGGGATCAACATTTTCAAACTCCAGTAACAATGGCCGCATCTTACTGTCCATTACTCTACACCTTTCTGGCCTGTTAACAAAAATAAAATCATTCAACTTATTATAATATAACATAACACTTCATAGCTTCATCCGTCCATCCATCATTAATTCTACATCTTCTTCATCTATTAAAAACATTTGACGACGAATTTGGCTCAGTTTGTAGTAACCCTACCTGCTGTATCAGCGGTAGCGGGTTCGAAGGCCACTGGGGCATTCATATGTATGATGAGCATTAATGTTTGTACTCCAGTCATGAGTGTTTATATTTATAATATGTATGTATTTAAAGTTATATATGTGTAGAGTATCAGCTATCTGGTACCCATAACACAAACCTTGTATCTTATAAATATGGATTTTTTGAGACAGCTTAAATAAATTGGTTGTTAATACCATACTTAATATTATAAATGTGAAATTGTGTTTGTTTGTCCTTCTTTCACGTCTAATCAGAGTGACTGATTGGCGTGATTTTTTGCGTGAAGATAGTTGGAGGGCTGGAGAGTGACATAGGCTACTTTTTACCGCGGGAGTTTCTCTCATTCCCACGGGAACACATGTCATACAGCCCACAATAGCATCATACCTAATATATGTATATATTATAATATATAGTCTATCTATTCCATACTAACCGATAAGAGTCTATGTAGTAAATAATAAATATCTATACATATAATAAAATTGTAACTAAGTCGAATCTGTACATTAAATATTTTTTAGAAAATCTAATTGAAATAGACATTATTATCGATACAGAGTCCGAATTTATTTTTTTAGAATTTTTGTCTGTCTGTCTGTTACCGCATCACGAGAAAACCACTGGACAGATTCTGATGAAATTTGGTATGGTGATAGCTGGTTATGTCTCATTTCAGAGAAAAAATACAAAAACTGCAGTGTAAGAGTATACTAATATGTAAAATCTAAGAATTTGGTTTTTGGTCATCTCAACGCGGGCGGAGCCGCGGGCAACGCTAGTAATACTATAAGCTTTAGATACTTACACAATTTTCTTACAAACTAGGCTTGGTATGAGCGGAGACACAAAATCACATAGCGTTTCCAAACAGTGCTGCTCTTGTAATTGTTTATGAAGTTCAGCTCGAGCTTTTGAGATCTCTTTCTTTTTGCGGATACAGTGACTTGCCCCTGAAAATAGAACGCAATTTTCATATATTTTTGCAATAGTCACTGTTTAATCGCCATTACATTGATTGTTTATCATATTAATATAAAAATAAATATAAATATTTTGGGACATTAACACACAGTACCATCTAGTTCCATGGTAAGCTACGAGGCTTATGTTATGGATACCAGATAGTTGATACACTATACATATAGAACTTTTAAATACATACATATTATAAATATAAACACCCATGACTGGAGTACAAACATTCGTGCTCATCACACAAATGAATTCCCCAGCGGGATTCGAACCCGCGACCGCTGTAACAGCAAGTAGGGTCACTACCAACTGAGCCAAACGTGTCGTCATCAATAATCATCTATATTCTATATATCTATATATAGAAATCGATGTGTGTGTGCTATGCATGTTCCTTCTGGATTCAAAATGGGCTGAAGCGATTTTGATGAAATTTTCAGGCAATCATCAGATTAGCCCAGCGGGTGATCCTGTGAAGTTTGGTAGCAATCGGAAATTTAAACGAGGGAAAACGGGTATTACTAGTAATGAATAAGAGGACTACTATATACGCGAAAGTTTGTACGTGCGTTTGTTCCTTCACGCCAAAAGAGCTAGACGTATTGAGATGGAATTAAGTACATAGATAAGACTTTAACCTGGAGTAACACATATGCCTGTTTAAGTCGCGAGTAAGTACATAATAAAAAAAAGCATTCATGAAGACTGCAGACAAAAGAGAAAACTTTAAACTATAAACAAACATTTGTTATTTTTGGATATTTAAATTAATTGTTTGATTTTAAATTAAAATTTGTAAATCAAATCTTATTAAATTAATTTATCTGATTTTGACATCTATCGGCACTCTATAGTGTTAGGGTCAACACGTCACGTGACCATGTCGATGACGACACACATGAATTTACTCCCTATCCAAATCTGCCTATAGAAGTTTTCACTTCAATAAATAATTTTAATCAAATTAATTATATACATTTACATTTAAGAAAGGACTTACATTTAAGTTTGTCCAAGCAAGTGATCTGCCTCAACAGACTGTTGATGTGGTCCTGGCAGCCGCGGCAGTACGCCTCCAACACGAGCCCGAAGCGCACCGACACCGCCGGCACGTGCATCTCTGATCTGTTAAATACAAAATATATTATCACTACATAGTATAAAACAAACTCGCTTCCCGCTGTCTGTCTGTCCCTATGTATAGTTAGATCATTATAGCTACGCAACGGATTTTGATGCGGTTTTTTCAATAGTGATTCAAGAGGAAGGTTTATTTGTATAATACATACATATTACAGTACAGAAAAGCCGAGAAATTCAAAGATTTGTATTTCATATTAACCGTTAAAACGTACCTAGGGACGAATTCAAGCGAAGCGAGGGTGAGTCGCAAGTTTATTATTATAAAATAAAAAATAGTTATATACATATAGATACACATGCAAAGAACAACATTATTTACAATTTTATAGACTCTCCATTTTTGCTTAGTTGAAATATTTAGTTCAGATGTCCTAAGGTTAGCACTAGTTATAAGTATAATGTAAAATATATAAATAGTATATAATGTAATAAGTATAATGAAAAATTCACTAATATTTATTTACGTACTTTCTCGATCACACGGTTTAAAAAAATTATTAGTGAATACTTGTAATTATAATTTTATATAGGTCAATCATTTTTTTTTTGTAAGATTTTGTAAGTTTTTTGCTGTTTTTTTCTTCTTTTTTGACTGCTCATTAACATGATATGTATATTAGTGGAAACTTTATTGGTGTGTGAACTATCTTTTATGTATTTTCTGTAACTGTTTTAAATACTGTTTGTTTCCCAAATATAAATAAATATAGACTGCAATCAAATAATTTACATATAGCCTTTTTTTACATAATATATGTACGATCCGGATATAAAAATAAAACCGCTTAATAAAAGTCCCGACAATTATTATATTAAAATTATAGAAAACCATGTTAACGCGCATCATCATGTCGCGGTTTGGACAATTCATCCGTCTTTTTTTTTATTCATCTTTTATTCCATTCTATTCTTAAAATACTTCACGCAAACTTATCTCGCAAATCTAACATTATTGAACACAAGTGAGATATAGCATTTGACTTTTTATACATTTTTACCTCAAATGCCAGAACAAATAATGTCCAATAGTCATATTGTTGAAGGCGCGTTGCAACAAAAATACGGAAAGGTCACACATTAAGTACGACTCGTGCTTCAACGCCTGGACCAGCTGGAGCAAATAGAGGAGCAGGTCTTCATCGCTGTAAAAAACAAAATATTTATTAATACTTTCTTAGTTTTAGGTGAATATTTAACATCTATATAAATACAAATGAATCATCGAAATGTATGTACGCGTATAACTTCGGATCGACTGCACCAAATTGGATAGTATTTTTTGTATTTTTTATCGTCGGGACGAGCTTTAAAAAAAGAACTAAATAAGATTTTTTTTAAATCTCATGATATAAAAAGTGAGTGAGTGAAATAGTTTTTATCTCGGAAATCATCCCTCAAGGGGCTGAGAATGGGAATGAAAGTTTGTATCGGGAAGCAAGCTAAATAAAATTATCTTAACGCAATTTTATTTAGATTTTTGGTTCCCGACGTTTCGAATGCTTTACGGCAATACGATCACGGGAGAGATTAAGTTTTTAGACGTTTCAAAAGTACCACAACTCCTACCCACAAAATTATATATAAATTATGCAAAATAATAATTTTAGTGTTTTAAATAAAAAGTAGTCAGGTGGATCCAGTTACGGGCCACAGACCTGATGTTGGCGAGGCACTTGACGGCGAAGCTGCGCACGGCGGCGTCGGCGTAGGCGTAGTCCAGCAGCTCGAGCGCGCTCTCCACGCGCAGCGCCGGCCACGCCGCCAGCGAGCGCGCCACGCGCGCCGCCTCCGCGCGCTCCGTCCACTCCACGCACGACAGCAGCTTGGGCAGCAGCTCGGGCGCGCGCACACGGAAGTACTCTCTGCGGGAGGGAGATGACTGGTGAACGTGTGATCGGGCGAGGCGAACGTTTGTTGCCATGGTGACCGTTGTTATTGTCTATTTATACCACAGAAATCTTAATAATAAGCTAATAGAAGTGGCATAGACGCGTGACCTTGTCGCCGCGCATATGACTCGTAGGTCACAAGCGCGTGTAAAGCGTTTGTTGCGGTAACTAGTGTTATTTGAGACACGGAGAGGTAAACATGGTGTTTTGCAGCATATCCAACTGCGGAAATTCTTCCACAATTTGTAACTTTACAAATAAAGGGATAACATTTCATATACAAGTACTTAATTTTTGAAATAATGTCGTTTTTAAGAAATATAGCCAAATCAAATGTTTTCACCACCACTACTACGATTATCGCAGGAAAACGTTTTTTTTTTTTCAATTCAATAACCATTACCACTTAAGCTTGTTCATGTCTACTATTACAACTGCTAAAAGCAGCAATGAAATAATAGTCATGCGTAAAGAACAATATCGTCGCGTACGTAAATTCCAAGGACACGCCGCATAAGTTGACCGCGAATTAGTGACGTGCCACCACTATTTTTTATCGAAAATTTATTACGTTTGGCTTAATATTTTTCGTTAAATATTTAATTGTTACATCTCATTATGTATGTTTTCTTTCTGTCTGAATAATTTATAAAAAGTCATTAAACAACGATTATCTGTAAATTCGTACTTTTAAACTACTTTTTCATTCAGAAAATTATTAGGAGGTAGGCTTATTATTGTTATGTATATGGGTAAGTCAAAAACAGTATGCGTTGAATATCCTTGTATCGTTGACATGTTCCGCATTTACCAATTTTTTTTTTTGATTTGATTGAGTAAATAATTCTAAGGGCAAGTTGTTTGATAAACATAACATAGAAATTCTATAAAAAAGTTTAAGTCATTGTTAAAAATGTATAGGATTTTAACAAATAGTTTGCATAACTTTTGTATAATAATAATAATAATATTTATTGCAAAGGTATACACCCAATTTAGAATATAATAACATATATGTAGTTATACAAGTCAATTTTTATATCACTTATGCATATATATGCAAGTCAATAAAAACATTATAAAAACAAAATTCAGTCAGACTCTTCATTAAATTAAACTAGAATTAAAAACAATATATCGCTGTTGAGTATATAGTAGCTGTTGAGTGTATAACTATATAATAATAAAAAAAAATACTTACTTTTAACGTTTTATTGTATTCCCTTTATGAAAATAAATAAATCGTCTAAAATCGCGTCGAGGAATGAAACATAAAACACTTTCAATAAATTAGTTACCTATTGTTGCAAGACTCAACGGAAAATTATCGATATGAGCATTATGCGCTTTGTGCTGCACTAGAAGTGAGCGCGCGATATCATTCTGTGCTTTTCGCACACGTTTATTATTGGTCACAGGGATCACGGGTTCTGAGATTATGCGTTTTTAGAAAATATTGCGTAATGTCATCGCTTAAAGTTTAATTTTTGTTGCAACAATGCAAAATGCATGTGTGAGCGATAGTGTGTATTTATTGTTTGTCAATGTGTTGGTAGCTGCAAACCGGCGACACGCGTCCCAGTACTAAAAGACCGCAATGGCATTTCTATTACCTTATTATTAAGATTTCTGTGATTTATACAAATATATAATATTATATTCTTTCCATATATGATTTAATTCTATAATTACATGATTTTAATTTGCTTAACGTGCTATTTATATAAGTATTTTTTATTATTTATATTATATACAATATTTTTATATATTTAACATTGAAAAAGTACTGTAATAGTAAAAAATGTACTTAACTAACCTATTAGCGGCTCACCTCACTCCGCTCGGGTTCGCCGTTCGCGTCTAGAGGAACATAAATAAACCTATCCCATGGGAACCGTATATTTTTTCGAAATAAAAAGTAGCCTATATGCTATTCCAGACTATAACCTATCTCTTTCCCAAACATCCAGATCCGTTCAACCGTTCTGGCGTAATTGAATAACAAAGTAAGATAGAATTCAAAATTAATCTTTAATTTATGATTCAAGAATATCCATCCAAAAAAAAATCTATTGTTTTTTATCTATTCATATAATAAATGTGTAACTGATAGCTGTCTGTACATGGCAGTTATTTAAGAAAAACTATTATTCATCTTTATTAACGCAATAGAATCCCTAAACAATGATTTTTAGAACGTTTGTCTGTTTGTCTGTGCGTTTGTGCACCCTAATCTCAAAAATGGCTCAACCGATTTGGGTGCGGTTTTCACTAATGTATTGTGGTAAGCTTCACTTAACACTTTAAACGTTTTATTTCAATCAATTCATAAAAATAAAAAAGTTATGTCAATTTAAAGAATCACCATCACAGCCCTAGTAATTAAAAAATCATAAAAATTCATTAACTGACCTCGAAGCCCATATGTTTTTCTTTTCCTGCTCGTGCATTTCATACATGGGGTCCTTCTCAGCGGTCGTGCGAAGTTTCTCAAATTCCTCACTCAACCGCGTCATGGCGTCCGTTGACTCGTAGGCCTCCAACTGATCTGCGTATGCCTTCACTGCTTCTTGTTCCGGAAACAATATTGGATATTGGCAGTCGTAGCTAAAAGAAGAAAATACAAACTTTTAAAGAATAGCTCTTTGGAAATTTTGATTTCATTTGCATTTATTTAATTAATAGATTTATTGGCTCGAAAAGGTTTATACCTTTAAAAAATCCTTTAAAAATTATTTTAAATGTAAAAAACTAACTGAAATATATGTATTATTATACATATATTGCATACATTTAAGCTCTAAAAATGGCTCTTGCCACTCACTTCCCACCAACGTGCGTTCACCTTGTCGTGGTGGGGGGAGAGAGGAGGGCATGAGGGGGCGGGGGGTCCTTATCATCCGGCAAAGCGACAGGGTGCGCAGCTAAGAATCGCACTGGGAGGTGGCCTGCTTTGGTGGGTGGTGTGCCATACGGGTTGCTCCTAGTACCTGGAGAAGCGCACGTGCAGCGCAGCGCAGCTCTCGCCGGGGTTGCAGACGACGGTGCCGAGCGGGTGCAGCAGCAGGTCGTCGCCCTGCGTCTCGTCGGCCACGTGCGGCCACATGAACAGCGTCACGCCGTCCGTGCGCAGCTGCTCCTTGTAGTCGAACATCATCGTGTTCGCCCACGCCAGCTTGTTGATCGCGTCCTGGCACACGCACGATCAAAAATTATATAATTATATTTTATTCATTGATTTGTTACATTTAAATTAATTTTAGTATGTAAGTCTATAAAGAATTTACCACCGGCTCGGAACGAAATTATGCTGAAAAGAGCCATCGAAAAACACAAAGCTAGCTCTTATTAATAATTAAATTAAATCAAAATTATCAATTTATTACATCACACAATTTATAAGATATTATAGCTTCTATATATATAGTGAGATTTACCTATTTAATAAAAAAAATATTTTTTCTTAGAATTACTTATGTCAAGATCAAGTCACATATTGTATCCTCGTTTTAGATAAACGTATACCATAGGTATAACTTACATCACACTACTTTTTTTATTTATTATTTACAACATCATAGCATTGGAAATAATTTTGGAGTATTTCAATTATTTATTCAAGTTATAATAAAATTTAAATTACAAAAATAAGAGAGAAAAATATAAGAAAAATAAAATTTAAACTTAATTAGGGACGCACCCAAGAATGTAACTCGTTAGTTTTAAATTAAACTATCTTTAATTATTTAAAAATACAAATAATACACTTAATAACAATAAATGGTGTATTTAATCCGCACTTCACATTTTTTTTATTTATTTTGTGTGGTTGCATAACCACTTACACAAATCAATTACATATACTTTTTAAATAAAACTATAATATCTTTTTTTTTGATTTTTGGTTCCCGAATACTTTAGCATAAATGCATAGCAAAAATCATCAGTATCAGAATATTTGACATAAGCTGTTTACAGCATGTAAGTCTAAAGAAGTATAATACATAATATATTAAGTACCTTATTAGCATCTTTTCCTTTTCTCTTATTCTTGGCTTTGGTTATTTCGTATATGACAAAGCAGAGCCTCGCCATTCTCGGTACATTGCACACTTTTATGGGAAACTTCAACTCTTCGTCCCATTGCGCTTCCCCCCTAGCTGAAACCACCGCTACTTTGGTCTTCTGAGGCTCACAGAGAGATTTACCCCCATGGTATATGCCGGCTTGACATACAACCTGTAAATATATTTAGTACATTATTAAAATTTAAATATTATATAACTACTATTTGTTGTTGCCATCATTTCATTCATGGAATGGAAGTATGAAGAACTTGGTATACATTTTACATTTATGCAGCTCTAATTGTATGAAACCAAACTTATTCCAAAATGAATTCAATACAATAAAGGCTTATAAAAATCCATTTATTTACTACTACTAGAAGCTAAAAATTCTAAATATCAGCAGATATACTAATTTAGTAAAGTCGCTATATAGCCACAAAATACTTAATTGCTTCAGAAACAAATTCATATTTCTAAATAACAGCATTATTAGTGTGAAATTATAAAACTACTTCAAGAGCTTGCCTTAAGTTTCATATTTAAAACAAATCTCACCTCAACTAGTCTACCGGGGTCCACGTTGAGTCCGCCCACCGTTTGTACCACACATGAATAATCATTTTCTATTTTCCAAGATGACTCATAATTTTTCTTCTTTCTCATCGTGTTAGATTGTTCTGATGTGGGCGGCCTTGGTTCCGGTAATGCATAATATTGAAAATCTGAACCCACTGAAAAAAAATTGTTAATAATTTCGATTAAAAACCATAATATTTTTTTTTTAAATCTTTAGCTATTTACTAGGCAACAACTTTGATTTACGTCCAGAAGATTTGCACTAGCTCTCTTTAAGCCCTTACCATAAAAATCTAACAAAATCTAAAATCCATACCCTAATATTAAATCAAAAATTAAACATACAATAAAATGACAATATATTTAATATATAACGTAATAGTAATAATTAATATCTCACTCATAACTCAACTCATTATTATAAATGCGAAAGCTTGCTTGCTAACACACATAGTGTTATTCCAGGTGTGTATTAAACTTCATCCAAATCCCATCAGCAGTTTTAACATGAAGAAGTAACCACACACACGTAACACACAAGTACGGACGCACACAACCACGCGCACACACACACACAAAAAATTGCTGTAATATGAATTCGATACGATCGATCAAAAAAACTACTAAATACACAATCCCATGCAAAAGTTCTCTTAAAACTGTCTCCAATTGTGTTTAAGTAATAATTATTCTAGTTGAAACAAATGTACGACAATGTTAATTGAACCTTAAATACAATGCTAAGTTGTTTTCACAAAATAAAATAAAAAATAAAAGAGCGCTAAAATATGCAAATGAGCGCTCATTCGATGAGGATATTTTTTATCGCTGATTGTGTATCTAGTACTTCTTGATCGATGATCCGATGTAAGTCGATATTTTTGTATCAATTCGCAAGACAGCTAGGGATGCACTCGAACGTAGCGAGGATAAGTTAGTAATCAATAACAATACGTAGCAAGTACTCACGGGATATCTTGTCCACGCTGACCGTCATGACCTGCGGCACGCCGTCCCGCGACAGCATCTCCTGGATGTACAGGAACTGTATGAGCGGGTGGTCGCCCAGCAGGTACTCTTCCCGCCCACACACCTGTTTATTAATGTGTTACGTTTATATAATGTCTATTGTTAACTAACTTTTAATAATAGAGACTATTTAGTAGTTACATTACATTTTCATTTCTGGTAAATTTTGAGATTTTTTGATCACTGGTTCAAAACTGCTCTTTTTTTGTATTTTGCTCATAACTTTCTTAATAATGGTCGAAATTCAACTTTTTTTTTCAAAATTTTTGTTTTTGGGTGACCTTCACAAAAAAATATAAAAAAAATTCAAAGTATTTTTAATCGAGATTTTTCAATTTTAAGTTTTCAATCGTGTTTTTAAAAATGACATCGACTCGTTTTTTTTTAAATATCCATCATGCAACATATATATATATAATATAAAGGTAATCCAAAAACAAAAACATTGAAAAAAAAAATATTTGAACTTTAACCATTATTAAGATAGTTATGAGCAAAAAAAACAAAGAAAGAGCGTTTTTTTTTAATTCGATATTTTTGAACCAGTGATCAAAAAAATCACAAAAAAAATTACCAGGTAAGCCTCTTTTGAGAGGTACAAAAAATACCAAAATGTAAAGAATATTAAAAACACATTTTTGCAACCGTCCGATTTGGCGTGGAATGCCCCATAAGTATAAAATAAGTATAAAAATCTATATACATGAAATACAATTTTTTTTTGTTATAAAACAGTAACAATAGGTACTTATATTTTAGAAATAACTACTCATTAGTCATTTATTGAAAAAAAAAACATATCTGCGTGAGTTAAGGTATCGGGACGGGGTAGTAATAAAACAACGTTTTTTGTCGAAAGGACAAGTACAACTAATTTAATAACTTATTTTCTAAGATTTTATAGGAACATGAATTGAATTTGAAAATGAGAATTTGTGCGTAATTCCTTACCATCTGTTACAACTCATTTGTTTTACATGAACATTGCTTATAATAATAGATTCTTTTAAGAAAGATCTAGAAAGGTCGATACATTTAAAAGTATAAGATCCTTCCGAGAAGGATATCTAAATAGCCCACGTGTTGGGTTACATAACTCGTGTAATAAAATAAAAGCAACCAATGACAATTAAAGGGAAAAATAAATAAAGTATCAATTATACAATATTTACCTTAAGTACGTAATTGCGCGGGTGTTCCCCGCGTATGTTGAGCAAGTTTGCCTTCTTCCGGAATATACTCTCTATGTGCATATGTGGTGTTAACAAAACTGGCACATTTGATGTGAAGGACGTCTGCAATTTATTAAACATAAAATCTTACATTGGCACATTTTCGAAGATCCCACGCCCACTGCTGGGAACAAATCACACTTCAATCCGGGAGAAAAAGGCCATAATAAAAGCATTAATCACGCTGATCAAGTGAGAGATGGTGGACTCCTCAAATCTTTCGTAAAACTAGATAGGTACTCTCAGATTTGAATGTTTTCTCACAATATTTTCCTTCACCGTAATTTTGTTGAAATGGAAGTGAAGTGCGATACCTAGGATTTCAATCCGCTTCACTCGGTCTTCCAAGCAAGCGCGTTACGACTGGGCACCACTGCCTTAGACCATAATATTGTAATAAGAACTATTAAATTATAGCTTAATTATTGAAACCTACAGTTAAACAAAGGAATAATAGTACAATATTATCGAGATGTTTTTGTCAATTTGTATGTTCACTATTTGTGTGGGAATTCGAATGGTTCTGCTGAAAAGAGTTACATCAAGCACCAATGAATTCAACGCTTCCCTAATAAACCTCGTACATCGTGAGTTATAGTATACCTACCTAACATAAACAATAACAATAGAAAAAACTATCTAATTTAATATTGATGAATATTAAATAAGAAAATATCTTACAATAAATAGTAGGTATTATATTTTGTTGAACAGTACATTGCTTTGTTATCAACTCCTTACATTTAGTATTATGGCTGTCAAATTTTAAAATTTTAAAACTTTCATAGTTTTATGAAATATAAATAATATCAGCAGCTGTCAATTTTTAACAAAAAAAGGTGTCAAATAATAAATTGTTGACAACCAACTAATAAATAACTTAAAAAAAATGCTGAAATCACATTTTAATCTACAGGCTAAAGATGAAGCAGTAGATGAGATAAATAAAGATCAAACATTTGATGAACAGACAATCGCAGAATCACTGCATTTAGAGCAACTTGGTGAAGCACTAGTTGAAGAAGAGCATAATATACAAATCCTACCCACGTATCTAGTAAGAAAGCTAAACAGATCAGAAATTAGCGTACGTCTTAGTTTTTTAGGCAAAACTGCCGAAGGAGATGGGTATAGTATATCCTTATTAATAAATGTAAATAAAAATAATATTTGTATTCATTTAAATAGTTATAAACTAACATTTTTTGTTGTAGCTACACATATTTAAAGGCAACATGTACTGGTATGAGTTTAACTGACGTAGCAGCCCTTAAAGCTTTTCGGCATTTACAATTTGTTGACGTTTCCAACAATAATTTGACTCTGGAGAGCTTACAAGTGATCACAGAACTACCTTTCCTAGTCCACATTCACGCCGATAAAAACATCTTAAGCTCAGCGGCGTTGAATAAAATGAAATATATGCAAGTGATCATTATGAATTATAACAAAATAACGTCAGTACACGACGTTTATCAACCGGAATTGTGCACTTTGGAAGTTGGCTTTAACAAAATCGACAAAATCCACTTCGACAATAATATGCCTCACATCAAATGCTTAGATTTCCGCTACAATCTGATCCAAGATATATCTAATGTTGACTTTCCTAACTTAGACAGTTTATATTTAGCCGGAAATAAGATAACGAGTTTAGTAGGAATAGAGGGCCTTGTTAATTTAAGAGTATTACATGTAAGAAATAATCCTATAAAACTCTTGAATGGGTTCGATCCTGGACTAAAGAAACTCAATTACTTAAATTTGCGAAACTGTAAAGTATCTACTTTAAAACAAGTAAAGAAGCTACGGGTGAGAATTGTTTTTTTTTTCTATTTACAACTAACAACTCATTTCGTCCCTGGGTACGTTTTAACAGTTAGTATGGAATAGATAAAAAATATATTATTATATGATATTATATAGCCTCTAACCTTCCTCAATAAGCGGGCTATCCAATGCACAAAGAATTTTTCAAATCGGATTAGTAGTTCCTGGGATTAGCTTTCAAACAAACAAATAAACACTTTTTATAATATTATTAGTAATTAATAAAAATCTCCTAAGATAATTTTATTTCTCCTAAATAAGCTGCATATGCTGGATAATTTTTGTAAGCATTCATATTAAAGTGTTCAAAAGAAAGCAAGTTCATGAAAATAAGAACGTTTTCGGAACAAAGGCTTCAAAGTTACTTTTACTTTATCTTATTATTGTCTCAAAATTATTCTTGGAATATTTCATATAATTTTCTTATAATATTATACATATGAACTTTCACACTTGTGCTCGTTTGTTTGTCCTTCTTTCACGTCGAAACAAAGTGACGAATTGGCGTAATTTTTACAGCGGGAAATTATCTCATTCCCTTGGGAAAACACGTTATAATACAACCCACAACAACATCATACCTATGTATGTGTGTATATATATATATATATATATATATATATAATAGACTGATTCAAAAAAACCGACTATTTTTTTTTTTTTTAATATTGAAAATATTGTCAGAAATGACGAAAAAAAAATCCTGTGAAAGTTAGAGCTCTTAATATTAATATTAAGAGGTGCCGAGTGGAAAATTTCGATTTCCCATTTGATTAACGTGGGAAAAATTTTTTTTCTTACTTTGGAATTCTGTAGCTCTTTAACAAGTCATCGGATTGGTTGAGTCAGAACATATTCTTGTAGAGAATTGAACGCTCTACAAAAAAGGTCTCTTATGATTTTTTGATATATTTACTTTTTCAAAAGTTATTCAACCCTAAAGATGAATTGATTCAAAATTTTTACATTTTTCTAATTTTCCGACGCAACCATCAACTTTATGAGAAAATTTAATAGGACTTTTTTGTAAAACATTCAATTTCCTATAACTTATCTCTCAAAAAATTAAAATTTTTTTTACAGATCGTAAGTTATTTGCAAAAAACTAAAAAATTTTTTAAAAAGTTGTCATTTTTATTCTTAAAATTAATTATCATGTTAAACAAATAAAGTTTTAACCTAAAAATTGAATGTTTATTACAATTTAATCAATAAATGGAAAAGCTTTTTTTTTTAACAAATAATGCTGATTTATGTTATTCGATTTTTGGAAATCATTTCAAGGTCAAGACGAACAATTCTCAAAAGCAAATAAAAACATTTTTTATCTATTTTATATTTAATATGACTCTACTATCCATATCAATTAAAAATCCTTTCAAGCTCGCCCCCCTCTACCTATATTTGATATACTTCAACGCTGTTGTGATTCCAAGAATTAGGTAATTGCCGAGCTTTTTTGAATAGAGTAATATATTTTTATTGTTAAGTAAGCATGGAAATGATTTGAAAAAGTAAATATATCAAAAAATCATAAGAGACCTTTTTTGTAGAGCGTTCAATTCTCTACAAGAATATGTTCTGACTCAACCAATCCGATGACTTGTTAAAGAGCTACAGAATTCCAAAGTAAGAAAAAAAAAATTTCCCACGTTAATCAAATGGGAAATCGAAATTTTCCACTCGGCACCTCTTAATATTAATATTAAGAGCTCTAACTTTCACAGGATTTTATTTTCGTAATTTCTGACAATATTTTCAATATTAAAAAAAAAAAAATAGTCGGTTTTTTTGAATCAGTCTAATATATAATATATAGTCTATCTATTTCATACTAACCGTTAACCTACCTCAACCTGAGCGTTAAATTGAGGAAAATAACAATTAATAAATAATGATAGCCTTTCATATACTCAAGGTACTTCCCGCACTAGAAACTCTTATAATGAAAGGATGTCCATACATGGGTGGTACGGGTGAAGAGGATGCAGAAGCTGGTGTCGAAGAAGAAGATGCTGAACTAAGGATTGAAGTCCTAGCTGCTTTACCTCGACTTAAGAGACTTAACAAAGGAGTTGTTTCTCCTGAAGAAAGGTAAAATGCAATAAGAAATGGAAAATACACATTTTATTCAATCTACGTTAAGGAAGAAACTTCTATGACTAATCGTCAGCGCGAACATCAAACCCGCGACTACAGTGACAATACGCTACTCATTAGAAAGATTATTGCACCTTGCTCGTCCAGACTTTATTCTGTTTAAAGTCATAGAAATATTGAATGATAAATAAACTGAAGATATACATAATAATATTACAGATATGAAAGTGTGTTTTGTATGTCTGTCTTTCTATTACGCCAAAACAGAGCGACTGATTGATACTAATTTTTGTATGAAGATATTCGGAAAGATTTCGATTGATATATTTTTCATTATGGATACAGCCGAAAGTCTGGACAGTGACGCATGGTATCTCGTTACTAGTCTATACATATATTAAAATTCTCACCGAGTCGAATCTGTGCATTAAATATTTTTAGGAAAATCTTATTGAATTGTAATATATCATCGATGCAGAAACGGAATCTATAGTTTTTAGAATTGTTGTCTGTCTGTCTGGGAACGCATCACGAGAAACCACTGGACAGATCTTGATGAAATTCAGTAAGATGATACCTGGTTATCCGGGTCATCACATAGGATACTTTTTACTGCGGGAAAATATCTCATCTCTGAGAAATCTATACTAAACGTTAAAACGTAACTAGGGATGAACTCGACGGAGCGAGGGTCAGTCGATAGTATCTAATAAATACATGTTTGCTTCATGTGAGTACATATTCAACATATATTTGTCATTAAGTAAATTATTTTTAACAGAAAATACCTACATGAGTTTATTCATAATATAATTGGATAATTTTTGTAGATCTGAAGCCAATGAACTTATTAAACAATGGATAGAAGAAGGAGAAAATGACGAAGAAGAGATTGAAGAAGAACATCAAGCTGAAGAATCTAATGCTGACTGACTTAATAATAAAACTAATATTAATAAATAATATATAATTTGTTACAACTTCATAATTGTTTTTTAAATATAATATATTTCTAAGCATCCTTGACAATTTTTCAATTTTATAATTAAATTTATACTTATAATATAATTGTAACTAAACCAAATCTGTATATTAAGTATTTTGTGGAAAATCTCTTGAAATAGACATTATTATCGATACAGAGACCGAATCTATAGTTTTAAGAATTTTTGTCTATCTTTGATTACATCATGAGCAAACCACTAGACAGATTTTGATGAAATTTGGTTATCCAGGTCAACATATACAATACTTTTTATCGCTGGAAAATATATCATCTCTGAGAAATCTATACTAAACGCTAAAACGTAACTAGGAACGAACGCGAGTGGAGCGAGGTTGAGTTAATAGTACTATTATAAATGTTAAAGTTTGTATTTGTGTTTATTACTTCTTCACACATTACTTGAAACCAAAACAATTAATAGTAAGTCATTACACTGTAAAAAAAGAAACTTTCATATTATAGTAAAAACTAATGTGATATAGATTGATTTTATTCTAAAGATAATTAAAATTAATACTATTGACAATATGTTTGGCTCATTTTGTAGTAACCCTACTTGCAGTACCAGCGGTCGCGGATTTGAATTCCGCTGCGGGCATCCATGTGTGTGATGAGCACGAATGTTTGTTCTCCAGTCATGGGTGTTTATATTTATAATAAGTATATATTTAAAATTATATATTATGTGTAGTGTATCAACTATCTAGTACCCATAGCACAAGCCTCGTAGCTTACCATGGAACTAGATGGTGCTGTGTGCTAATATCCCAACATATCTATTTATTCAACACACGCAAAATAGGCGCATAGTCGTCGAGTTGCGGAAAACAGCCCGAACATACCATACCATACCATATCTATTTATTATTATTATTATACATCTACTCACCTCGGTATTCCCTACTTTAGTGACCAGTATAAAACAGTTGTTGTTCAGATGACTGATCAAAGTTGTAGGAACAGTAGGCAGGTCGGCTAATCTCGGTGGATAATGGTATCTTAACCTTTCTAATCTTGTACTCTGTGATCTCCTTATTAGACTTTCCTCTGCAATATATCTCATTCGCTTTCGAAAGTCATTTACTTCTGAACTTCTTAAGCTATCAAACTCATTTAAACCTGAAAGAAAACAATTTATTAGTTCTAAAATCCCTAATACAAGCTGTCTATAGAGCAGGAGTATCCAACCAGGGAGGCGCCTCGCCATAGAAGAAATAGAGAGAGTATATTTTGTAAAATTTAAATTTAAAATAAATAAAAATCATAAAAATAATGTGTATTTTATTATAAAAAAATAAATAAAGGGGCCCCCCTTATGAACATATTTTTTATAATCCGGAGAGGCTCAACAGAAGAAAGTTTGTTAAACCCTGCTACTTAATAGAGGATATATAATACAAAAATTCTCAACAAAAATTTAATTTATTCTTTGGTCTGAATAAACAAAACAGCTGTGTAATTGTATAATAAACATTCAATATAATGTAATATTGCAGATTGCAAATTGATAGAAAATAAGAAAAATTCAAATGTTAGTCCAAGACCTGAGACACATTTCATACATATTGTGATATTTTTATTTTGCAAAACTTTTGTTTTGCAAAATAAACTATTAATTAAATAAAACAATATCAATACCTTTTCCAATCAAATGACTAATTTGGGTATTTAACAAATGCTCCCCTGGTCTCTCTATGGAACGCTCAATAAGCATGAGCACACCAAACACAGGCCTAATGTCTCGGAGTCTTTTATTCTCATCATCTACTTCTTCAGAAACAGCCAATGAATTAATAAATTTGAACACATAGCCCGTCATTTCATGCAGCATCCCAAATAACGGCTGCTTTGCAGCCAGCTCCCATAGCTCCTACAATTTTTTTATGTTATTACACAATGAGAGATTGTATTTCATTTTGTGATGAAGTTTAAACTAAATATTATAAACTATTATACAGTATATTACAAACATATTTATAAAAAGTAGGTTATTTTTAATTTATAACAGTTTCCTTTATTTATGGGAAAAATTCAGAGAATATCATTTGTGGCTGCATAATAGTTGCAAATACAGTCAATAAGGATGTTTCCAATTCAAACAATATCATTAATTTTATTAGTAAGACCCAATTTTATTAGTAACCCCAATTTTATTTCTGCTGTATAATTATTAACATTAATAAATATTGATTAATAATCAAAAAATATAATAGTATAATAAAATTTAGGGAATGTCTTTCTTCAAAAAACTGTAAGCATTATGATCTACTTTCTAAAACTTAAAAGTTAACTTATCTGTAAACACATTACTCAATAGTTTGACCTAGTTCTTTAGACGAGGGAAACATTGTGTTGACATGCAACATGACTCATGCTGAGATATCTTTACCAATACTAACCTCCTTAACATCTTGAAGATTAGCATCCCAACTAACTGTTAGGGGGAGGTATATAGAATTTGGCATCAAGCATGTGAGCTCCACATAATCAGATGGCTCGGCCGTCCAATAATCCCATGTGTAGGGGCAACTTGGCACAGGAACCATTGTTTTGGTATTTTTTAACAGTTTACATAAATACAATAGGGGCACACAACATCTTAAACCTTTCACTGATAATCAGTTTACATAGGAACACTCTATGTATTTTTAACTGAAAAAAATATATTAAATTTAGTCACTGATAATAACACCGCGATGTTGAATCATAGCATTTCCTGGTATTTTGATTAGGGGGCAAATCGCCATTCGAAAAGAAACTGTCAATGATATTACACAAACACCATCGATTAAAATATCGTAAATACAATTTCTTTCATTACCTTTGTATAAAATGTTTACATAATTCATAATGCAACACGAACCCAATAAAATCACTCAAATATGTTTCAGAGAAATGGTAAATACCAAAGAGTATAGTTATAAACTGGGAAATACTAAATAGAGATTAAAGATTACGTGCAACAATCTACGGCAGGTACATAATATGAAAAAAGTTGAATGAATTGTTTATGCCTGGTAACTATTTAACAAACAAGATGTATTGAGGAAGACTTTTCCCTTTTTCTCCCACCAGATGTCGCGATCACTATGGGCCTATTATATGAAAATAGATATATCTTTTGTTCCCAAAAGACAAAACTGAAGAAATTGTGGGATAAAGCAATAAGACTGCGAAAATTGACGAAATCATAATCTTTATATTAAAGGCTATGTGGACATTGTTTTACCGGTGGTAGGAATCTGTCAAGCCTGAAGGGTCCAACTGGATGGGTACCACCCCCTTGTCTATTTCTCTCGCCAAGTAACAATGATTACATTGATGTGTTCCGGTGGATAAGGTAACTAGCTCAATCACAGGCAAGAGGCATATCATCTTAGTCCTCACAGTGACAACGCACCTGCGGTTCTGCATTTTTGTAACATAAAACGTAAATGCATGAACCGTAGGTGTTATGGGCGACAGGTATCGCTTTCCATCAGGTGAGTTGTCTGCTCATTTGTCACTGAATACTAAAATTATAAAAAAACATAACTTTTCAAAGAATGTCATTTTAAAACTCTTAAATCGTCTACAGGTGTTTTTTTTTTGTACTTTTTTACATATTAATAATATGTAAAAATACAGAGTTTCATACAAACTTTCATCCCCAACTTTACTCCCTTATGGGATTGAATTTCGATAAAGACTAAAACACGTATTTATTCAATTGTATTGAAGAGCATTAATACTAAGCTTCAAGTGATTCTGATCATAAATAATTCCTTGCCCACATAAACTTTATTACCCCCTTTAATCCCTTTAAGGGATGAATTTAAAAAAAAACGAATTATTAAATACTAGCGAAAACTAAAGCACCTTGCCCATGGAAACCGTACATTTTCCAGGATAAAAGGTAGCCTATGTGTTATTCCAGACAATATATAAATTTCATCCAGATCCGTTCAGCCGTTCTGGTGTGAAAAAGTAACAAACAGCCATACTCCCAAACTTTCATATTTTTAATATTAACACGGATTTCACATTAAGAATGACAGAGTTTCATACAATCTTTAATCCCCTATTTTATCCACTGAGGGGAAGAATTTCAAAAAATCCTTTATTAAAGGATACCTACATAATATAAGGCAAAGGTCCTCAAATTTCACGTTTCTACCACCAGTAGTTTGGGCTGTTTGTTGATCTATCAGTCAGTCAGGAGCACTGCAGGATGCACCTCTCCTTCTTAATTCTTCCTTCAGCTGGTCCAACTTCCAGATAATGCAATATATTGCACTACCTGTGCAATATATAATAGAAGCAAAAAACCAGGTATAAAAGAGATATCACACTATGTAAATTGCTTTAACCTTAGACTGAATGTTAATAGGCTATACGTGTGGTGCCCTCCTTTTAAGAAATCTTCCTCTGTCACAGAATCTGATATCAAATTATTCATTTCAAAGTCATGTCAAATATATGTTCGTATTTTAAAAAATATATAAAATTTGCAACTATATATTTAAATTAATTTAGCTTGACTTTATTTAAAAAAATATTTTTTGTAAATATATAGTTCTTAAATATTCTTTAATTTGAATGTATTTTAACCTAGAATTATTGATGTTGATATCAAACGTCATATTTAAAAATCAAAGTGACACTTGTCTCGTGATATAGATCGAAATTCGAAATCAATGTCGACTGTAATGTTTTTTGCATAAATAAAATGTTTGAGCATTCTATAAAGGTTCCGAGACATTTTAAAATAGCTGCAAATATTGTTAAGAAAGTCTCAACAGAGGGTGGTAGCGTCAAAACATTACTGTACGACGAGAAACTACGGCATTTTGTGAGTATTAATTCACGTACTTTACCAAAGGAAATCGTCCTTTAGGTTACTTAGGTATGAATCAAAGTAAAATAAAAATTACACTTTACATATTTGCAGAGAACGAATGTGCTTTATGCACTTATAACAGAGACAATAAAACATGCTGCAGATATTGAAAAGATTTTTGACGGTTGTGGCATTTTGGTGAATGAATCACGTTTAGACCCTTGGCTTGCTAAAGTTCTCACAGCAGAACTGCTTTTTGGGAAAAAAGCTCTTCCCGGGAAAAGCAAACCTGAACAAACAATATTGTCTTATAAAGAGCAGTTCGAAAAATTTACAAGTGATCTACAAGATGACATGTCATTTAAAGGTAATATATATTTTTCTTTTACAGATATAATTCCACGATAAATATTCATAATGGCAGACAACTCAGATGGTCCACTAATACCCAAAGAAACCAAGTTGGCTGCTTTGGCATTGGCAAATCTATTTTTATATAGTGTGGCTATGTTTACATTGCCATTTGTTGCATTTTTTGGTGTAAGACATATACTCACAGATTACTATCCTGTTGAACCATTCATAAGAAACTGTTGGTCAGTTGTGGCTGCTGTAGTAGTAGTTAATGTTATAATATGCTTGTATGCATATAAGGCATATCATGAAAAAGAGTATGATGATGATGGCAATGAAATAGATCAACACTCATACAAACCTCCAACTGAAGCAGAAAAAACTTCATTAAACTTAAAACAAGATTAAATTTTATATTTATTTGTTTATACATTCCTGTTCCACATTATCCAGTATTATGACCAAATATGTTGTTTTAATACAAACTTAAAAATAAAAACATTGCTACCAGATATTAATCTTTTATTTATTCAAATACATATATTTTAACACAAATGTGTTCAGTGTAACACAATAAAGTTATATGTTTTAAATTTGTACATTAATAGTTTTAAAAGATGTGACTTACATCTAAGTTTAATTAATTCTTTTATTATATAAATTGACTTATATATTTTATATATTTTTTATATCTTTTGCGTTCTACTGGAATTTTCACTAGAAAGAAAAGGTTTAAAAATCTTATTAATTTTTATAGCAAAATGTATATCACATTCATTAATGATGAACTAAATCTTATTTATCGATCTAATAAAATCATTATGATAAGTATATAGTATTTGTTATCATGAAATTTAAATTGTTTTTCAAAAGAACATAAAGCCCACCTAAGGCATAATTTTGATAATTCCATGTGTAATTTTTGACAAAATATAATAATACTACTCTGTTATTGATACATAATAGAAGATGAAACCATACAAGAATATATTCCATATCAAATTATGCAATATTCAACAATAACGACACGCTTGGCTCAGTGTGTAGTGAGCCTACTTGCTATGCCAGCTGTTGAGGGTTTGAATCCCGCTGGGGGCATTCATTTGTGTGATGAGCATGAATGTTTGTACTTCAGTCATGGGTGTTTATATTTATAATATGTATGTATTTAAAGTTATATATCTGTAGTGTATAAACTATCTGGTATCCATAACACAAGCTTACATTGCAACTATATGGTGCTGTGTGTTAATGTCCCGACATATTTATTTATTATTTATTTATTGAGTAATTTATGAAGATTATTGAGTTGTTCGTTTTTGATGTTGTTTGTTGATGTTTCTTGGCTAATATTGTATAACAGTCCGCAGACCCCGCTATGTTCGGATCAACACAAACTTACTAACTACATCAGATGCCATTAGAGCTTTCCAAGATGATGGATATAAATTTATTAGATGTACATCAGGCTCTTACAATGACTACCTTCAACAAATCCAAACTTTATCAGAATATGATTTTACTCAAGACTATCATGTTAAGACAATGTTTGTTTTCGCGCCTGGAACCAAATTACATGAACACGACTTGTATTTGGAAAACCAGATCATTTTACAAGATAAGGTATGTTTTTTAATAATTTTTTTAGAATTGAATGTATATACAATTTTCGGCATATACTCATGATTGCGATAGGTATGTTTTATATTTGAATTTATACTGTTCCCAACATTTAGGCTTTGTCTTTATCATAACAAAAATTTATGTATGTTTACATACATATTGTCCATAGAAATAATCTGACCAAGTTATTGTAAACTAGCGACTCGCCCTCGTTTTGCTCAGATTCGTCCGTAGGTTGCTTCCTCATACAAATTTATTATTCCCACTTTCACCCTCTTAAGGCATGATTTCCGGGATAAAAACTATTGTATATCCTTCCCAGGGTCTCAAACTGTCTTCTTACTAAATTTCATCTAAATCGGTTCAGTAGTTTCAGAACTTATTTGAATTTGTTGGATTAGGTTTTATTCAATAGTGAATGGAGTTAGGTATACACACTATGTTTTATGAATTTCATAACAATAATTTTATTGTTAAAAAAATATATATTTCAATACTTATTCTTCAGGCAACGGCATTGGCAGTACATTTACTAGCTCCTCCTCCGGGTAGTGTCGTGTTGGATATGTGTGCAGCGCCGGGCATGAAGACGACACAACTCGCTGCTTATTTAAAGAATCAGGTGACTAAACATACACATTATAATATGTACACTTGTACATGGACTTTACACCTTTTTTTTAGTATTCCTTATATTCCCATATTATACATAATGTTATCATGAGCATTTAGTCGGAGCATAACTATATACATTTCAAAAAATCTCCACCGTTAAAGGTGAAATTTAAAGTAATTTTAAAAGTTACTTGTATTTTATTTTTGTAGTTCAATAGATATTTTTTGTATAATTAATGTACATGAGTCGTATGATTATTGATTTTGGTACAAAACTAATACTATATTTCATTAACAGGGAATGATATATGCGGTGGAAAGAAATGAACAACGATATCAAACACTCTGTGACTTTGTAGAGAAAACCGCATCGAAATGTGTTGAAACAATTCATAAGGACTCCTTAGAGATAAAAAGGGGCGATTATGATGATGTCGAATACATCATTCTAGACCCAAGTTGCTCAGGATCCGGTGAGATATGAATAAATTTTCATAAACTATGAGTATTATATATAATAATTAAAAATTCAATAGCAGTAGTGTATAGTTAGAATTTAAATATATGCTTATTGAAGTTATACTTCTTTTGGCACGTTTGCAAAAATGATGAGAATTAAATTTTTACAATGCGCGCACACACCGACAGCCAAAAAGCGACATGATGAAGTTAGCTGCATTTTAGAAACAGAGAGTTGTGACATACGGGATGAAATCTTCAGCTATTTTTGTTATGTTACGCCAAAGAAGTATAACTTCTTACGTGCGTACATAAGTACACGCACACGTATTTTTTTGTTATTACTATTGACTTACAATAAATAGTAATAGGTACGTTTTAAATAGATAAAATAGTTATAGTGAGTGTACCTTAGGAGATAGATACATGCTTTCACCGACTTTTCTAAAAGCCGTCTTAAGACCTACAATTTTTAGTAAATATATTGTTTTGATGTATCTCTTAAGATTAAGCCTGCATTAGCCATGTAAGCATACAAAAACAGTTTTTTTAACTAAAAACCGTTATAGTTCAGCCATTTTTTACAAAATATTTACAAATTCACGAGTCGAGATCTAATATGTAAACTAGTTGAGTGCTATTTGAATATTAAACTGACTTAATACTTACGTGTATGGGTATTTATTAATCTATTTTTTTTTGTCTAGGTATGGAGCTCAGTGTTCACAAATATATTGAAGACATAAGACTTGCAAAATTAACTTCCCTTCAAGAAAAATTCCTGAAACACGCAATGAATTCGTTCCCAAATGCCAAACGCATAGTTTACAGCACTTGTTCTCTGTTCCCCGAAGAGAATGAACGAGTGATTACAAACGTTGTCAAAACTTCAAGGGCAAAATGGCGGGTACAAGACGTAAAAGAACTGTTAAAAGGCCAATGGAACAATTTCGGTTCTGGAATGTATGGAAGTATGGGAAATAGATGTCTTTATGCCAAACCCGATTCCGATTTCACTACAGGTTTCTTTTTGGCCGTATTAGATAGAGAGCCTCGAGAATCTCATGTCGAAAACACTGGAAATAATGTTGGACCTAACACTAAAAATGGCGAAGAAAACAATGAAACAGGCAACCAAGAAGGAAAAGAAATGAAACAGAAGCATAAAAAGAAAAATCAAATGAATTTAACTGATGCAATTCATGTTCAAGAAACAAACGCCGTTGAACCATCCGTTGATGAATTATCTAAGCAACAAGAACAAGAAATGAATCTAAAACATAAAAAGAAGAATAAGAAGAGCTCGATAGATCTAACTAATAGTACTGAAGAACCATCAAATAATAATGAAATGAAAACTGAAGAAATTTTAGATGAGAACAGCAGTATAAAAAAGAAGAAAAAGCGAAAAAAAGATAAAACTAATGAACCAATGTCGGAAATTGGTGATGATGTTAATGATATAGTAGATATAACCAGCAATGAAGAGTTACAGAAAAGTAAGAAGAAAAAGAAAAAAGATAAAGATCATTATTTAAATAATGAAGAAAACAATATAGACGCAGATGTCATTGATGATCGAATTGATCAACCAAAGAAAGAGAAAAAGAAAAAGAGGAAGAGGAAAGACGATGAAGAATATTCTGAGAATACTAATGCAGAATTAAAAAATGATAACATGTCAGAAATGAAAGATGACTATTTAGATACTATAGAAAATGGAGCGAATGTAAAGAAAAAGAAAAAAAAGAAATCTAAACATCACGAGAATGTGGAAATTAATGATGATTGTAATGATATTGTTGAAGTTCCTAAGACGAAGAAAAAGAAGCATAAAGAAATTTTAGTTGAAAGTTAAATTTTATTGATTTTTGTATGTTTTTTAACCTTTTAGATTTAAATAAAATGTGGAAAATATTTTTGGTCTTTTAATACTTTCTTTTTTTAAGACTTACTTTGCTTACTAAATTAGTGATGTCCTTCTGACCAATTTGCGCAGGAGATATTATAGTGCAAAATTGTTCGCGCAGACACAACATGCACTAATACTTTCTTAGATTTACGCGAATATTTGACATTTTAAATAAAACTATCTTTTCGGATTTTGTCGCGGATTTATTTGGATTTTTGTTTCCCGACGTTTCGAATGCTTTACAGCATCCATGGTCACGGGAGAGACTGAGGTGTTACATGTCTTGAATGTATAGTTGTTACAGACAGCCTACCCACAATCCCACAATCATTTTGTTAATTGTGGGTAGGCTGTCTGTAACAACTATACATTCAAGACATGTAACACCTCAGTCTCTCCCGTGACCATGGATGCTGTAAAGCATTCGAAACGTCGGGAAACAAAAATCCAAATAAATCCGCGACAAAATCCGAAAAGATAGTTTTATTTAAAACAACATGCACTCTATAATATTTTCACACTCAAACTCCGATGGGCCTATGATTTACCACGACTGTTGAGACATCAGTCACAGGACCGATGGCTTTACGTGCTCTTGGAGGGACCGGGGACGGTGGTGAAGCACCGCCAAATTCCCAGCTGTCACTGGGACTTTCTTAACAGAAAGGCTATCTAAACTTGGCTGACTCGAACCCAGGACCTCCATATGTGCATGCATAACCGTACACTTTAGCCATTACGCCACATTTCATTATTCAAAACCATTATAACAATATATTTGAATCTAGAGTACCTACCACATAGCATCTCTCTAATTTTGTGGATGTTCAAAATATCTAAATCTATACTAATAATATAGAGGAAAGATTTGCTTGTTTGTACTGAATAGCGGTCGAGACGAACTTCTCTCGGCCCTCACTGCCACCGCTGGTAAAATCTGACGGATCCCTAGCTCATACGGCGGAGGAAAAGGCGACTTTGCTTGCCTCTCTTTTTGCCCAAAATTCATGTCTAGACTCTGGCAATGCCATTCCACCACATCTACCTCACTGCGGGATTTCAATGCCTGAAATCTGCATAACTAATAAGGAGGTAAAGAGAGTATTGTGTAGTCTAGATGTGAATAAAGCCAGTGGTCCTGATGGTATACCAGCGATAGTGCTTAAAACTTGTGCTCCCGAGTTGTCTCCGATACTGACACGTCTGTACCGCCTTTCTCTTAAGACTGGAATAGTACCTAAATCCTGGAAGCTTGCCAACGTGCAACCAGTGCCCAAGAAAGGAAGCCGTGCTGACCCTACCAATTATCGTCCAATCTCAATCACCTCCATACTCTGCAAGATTATGGAGCGTGTATTGAACACACGTCTTATGGCATACCTAGAACAAAACGACCTCCTCAGTGATCGACAATATGGGTTTCGCCGGAACCGGTCAACTGGGGACCTTCTAGTGTGTGCCAATCACATCTTTGGCGAAGCTCTTGAGCGAAGCGGGGAGGCGATTGCCGTCTCCCTCGATGTCTCAAAGGCCTTTGATAGGGTCTGGCACGATAGCCTTATAAGCAAGCTTGCAGCCTATGGCATATCTCCTGGCCTGATCCGCTGGATTAAAGACTTCCTGAGCGACCGATCACTCAGAGTTGTGGTTGAGGGTTGTTCATCACAACCCTTAAAGACCAACTCAGGAGTTCCTCAGGGGTCTGTTCTCTCTGCAACCTTGTTCCTGCTGCATATCAACGATCTGCTTATACCCGGTATCTATGGGTACGCAGACGACAGCACTATTGTAGAGAGATACCTGCCGAATCCTCGGGCCAGTAGAGATCAAATTCAGTCCGAAAGAGAGGCCATGGTAGAGCGGTTGAATCTCACACTCAGGACAGTCTCCACTTGGGGTGATGCCAATCTTGTGAGTATCAACGCCACCAAAACACAGGCGTGCCTGTTCACATCAAAACGGAGTCCTTTTACCTTGACCCCTACTTTCCGGAATGTGCCTCTGGAATACACTGACCGTCTGCAGTTGTTGGGCATGGACATTCGCCCCAATATGAACTACGGGCGGTTCATTGAGTCTAGGGCTAATATCGCAGCGAGGAAAGTTGGCATACTAGCAAAGGTCCGACAGTATTTCACACCGGGACAGCTTCTTGTTTTATATAAAGCTCAAGTCCGGTCGTGTGTGGAATACTGTAGTCACATTTGGGCTGGTGCTGCGAAGTGCCATCTGTCAGCCTTAGACTCAATTGAGAGGCGTGCCCTCAGGCTTATTGGTGACCCTACGCTGGTAAAAGCTAACTTACAAAGCCTCGATCACCGACGTAGGGTTGCCAGCCTTTGTGTATTCTATAGGTTACATTTCGGAGAGTGTGCGCAGGAACTACACGGCTTGATTCCTCCATCTCCTTTCTACCATCGGACAACCCGACGAACGGCTGGTCTCCATCCTTATGTCGTGGACATTCCACCCGTCCGGACGAAACGTTTCGCTACGTCATTCATTATACGTGCGGCTAAGGATTGGAACAACCTGCCGGCGTCGGTGTTTCCGTCCGAGTACAACATGGGTGTCTTCAAGGCAAGAGTGAATAGGTGGCTACTGAATTAGTGTGACTTACCATCTACGACTGCGTTACCACTTACCATCAGGTGGAACGCAGTCAAGCACTAATTCAGAATACAATTAAAAAAAAAAAAAAAAGTAGGCTCCGAAACTACTGAACCGATTTAGATGAAATTTGGTAAGAAGATAGTTTGAACCCCTGGGAAGGATATAGGATTTTTTTATATCGGAAATCATCCTTTAAGGGAGTGAAATGGGGATGAAAGTTTGTAAGGGAAAGCAACCTAGGGACGAACCCAAGCAAAGCGAGGGTGAGTCGCTAGTGAAAAATAAAAGCACCTACTCGCATTTCGTTTAAACACCTACAACAACGAAAATGATTTTTTACTTACAAATTAAAGCTATAATAAAAGTGTAATAAGAAATGTCTTATATTTTAAGTTATGAGATATAATTATTTTTTTAACAAACGTAACATTTAAGTACTAACTTTAACTAAGTACTTAAACCATTAACATTGTTGCAGCCGCACGTATATTTCGTCACGAACATTTTTATGCGTCCTCATTTAAACGTAAAGAATTTATGATTAACTTAAATTATGACTTTACTCATTTTGATAACACAATTCTTTAGATATATTACTTAAAAAAAAGTTTTTAAATAATTATTCCTATATTTTTTTTATAATAAATACTTTTTTTTAAATCTTAATTTTTTTCTCCTTTGGAGTGGGATAAATTTATGTCCATCTAATTGTTAAGAGATGGAAATTGTAGAGCCTAACCAACTTATAAGAACTGCCGAATATCTAGATTTAGATGAGAATAATAATATGTTATTAATTTAACTATCGCAACACGCGGACGGAGCTGCGGGCAAAAACTAATATAAAATAATTAAGGTAATTATATTGTAATAAAAGGTATATCTATTAAAGTAACATATTATATTAATTCAGTTATATTATATTTATAGCATCAATAAAAGTTCTGACAATATAAGTACACGCGAAGCAAAACGTGACGACTCTAGAACGAGATCTAGGCAAGTAGGTTGCTTATTATACACATATCTATGCAATTAGTTTTTTATGCCTTATATTTTGCATTTCATACTTAATTAAATAAACGATGAAAGTAGGTATATAATAATTACAATAATTCCTACATATTGTACTAAAATATCACGGAGGATTTTTTGAGGACAACTTTGTGAAACAATTTTGTACATTGATTTTTCGAATAAGTGCGTGAGTTTGAGTTGTATTAGAAACAACCACAGCGGTTATAATTTTTACTTAATATCTACTTATTCATACAACATGCCGCATGCGAGAAAGCTCGAATGAATGTGATAGAACTCTTATTATAGGTAGTTGGTAGGTAGGTACGGGCGATAGTCTGAATTGTGAATATAACTAAGTCTTATTTCAACAGTAATATTACATAGATACAAATAAAAAGCTTACTTTAAGGATTGTTGTAAACTTAACAGAGCAGGACTTAATAAGCATTATTTCTCAGTTAATAAAGTTTCGTATTTACTTGCCATGGGCCTTTATTATTTATTTATCAGTAGGTACCTATAAGTCTTAGGTACTTGCCATTTAAACTGTAAACAAGTTATCAAACTTATACTAATTAGCCCAAGGCAGAATATAAAAAAAAGAAAACAAATAAATATTAACTCCAAGGACAATTGAATGCTGACCTAAATACTGACATGAAAGACCGGTCACTTACGCTTACCCGCAGGTTGGAACGAAGTATTGAAAGTGTGTCAGTGTTACGAATTACGATTTTATTTTCGTAATATTTATTAGTGACGTTTTAACGTTTAGTATACTTTTTTTAGAGATGAGACTTTTTTTGTAGTAAAAAGTATCCTATGTGTTGACCCGGATACCCAGCTATCTGTTGGCACATGATATAAATGAATAGAAAAATATATATTTTGAATATTGAACGTCAACCGTGACAACCCTTCCTCCTTTTATATATGTAGCAATATACACTATGCCTTCCTCTTTACTATTCTTATATATACTATTGTACCGATCCATCAGGTTATGGGCCCAGACCGTTGATTAAAGTTAAAATAATTTCGTATATTCGCATATTTTCAGTATATTTATAGTATTTGCATTTAAATTTTACATATAAAATATATATATAATAAAGTATAAAACATAAAACATAAATAAAAATATAAAACATAAATAAAAATATAAAACATGGCGTCGGCATTGTCATATAATATTCCCGTCGAAAAACTAAAGGGCTTAGAAGATTATAATCATTGGAAGTTTACGCTGAAAATGATTTTAATGCATGAAGATCTTTTCGATTGCGTAATGAACGAAGATGAAAAAGACG